ACATTGTCCCCCGCCTGCCACGCAAAAGAGGCGGAGCCCAAGGGACGCCAGGGCGTACATCCGACCCCTTGGCAATGCACATTGTCCCACGCCTGCCACGCAAAAGAGGCGGAGCCCGAGGGACGCCAGGGCGTACATCCGACCCGTTGGCAGTGCACATTGTCCCACGCCTGCCATGCAAAAGAGGCGGAGCCCGAGGGACGCCAGGGCGTACATCCGACCCCTTGGCAGTGCACATTGTCCCACGCCTGCCACGCAAAAGACGCGGAGCCCGAGGGACGCCAGGGCGTACATCCTACCCCTTGGCAGTGCACATTGTCCCACGCCTGCCACGCAAAAGAGGCGGAGCCCGAGGGACGCCAGGGCGTACATCCGACCCCTTGGCAGTGCACATTGTCCCACGCCTGCCACGCAAAAGAGGCGGAGCCCGAGGGACGCCAGGGCGTACATCCGACCCCTTGGCAGTGCACATTGTCCCACGCCTGCCACGCAAAAGAGGCGGAGCCCGAGGGACGCCAGGGCGTACATCCGACCCCTTGGCTGTGCACATTGTCCCACGCCTGCCACGCAAAAGAGGCGGAGCCCGAGGGACGCCAGGGCGTACATCCGACCCCTTGGCAGCGCACATTGTCCCACGCCTGCCACGCAAAAGCAGCGGAGCCCAAGTGAGTGAGTGAGTGAGTGAGTGGAGTGAGTGAGTGAGTGAGTGAGTGTGAGTGAGTGAGTGAGTGAGTGAGTGAGAGTGAGTGAGTGATGTGTGAGTGAGTGAGTGTGAGTGAGTGAGAGTGAGTGAGTGTGAGTGAGAGAGAGTGATGGTGGGAGGGAGGGAGGGAGGACGGGAAGGAAGGAGGAGGAGGAGCGGATACAGAACTAAAAACAAAAACCCCACACGTCAATGTGGGGAAATAAAAAATGTTCCAAACCACCAACCATCTGCATATTTCATATAAGTACCTTACCCACAATACTGGTCAGTAGATATTCCCCTCAAAAAGGTTGCAACAATCCCCATCAAACGGTACAACGAAAACCATACAACCAGCCCACATTGATCCTGGAAATTAAATCAGTCACTGGGTACTGCATGTAGCAGTACCCTCTGGTAAATTGAAAATGGCCATTTATGGTTGGTTTACCTAGTAAAAATGGTGATTTCCCATAGTAAACTGTTAGTTTACCGGAGGGTCATCCATTAAAAGATCTTAGTCTTGATGGCTGGGTATATACCTTCACTGAATAACGAAAAAACATGGACATCAGTGCCCATTTCAGGTACCGATTGATTGGAGATACCTACCATATATAAGATCTAAGAATCTATCATATATGCCACCTATCATATACCCATTATTCCACAATATCCTCCCATAAATCTTGATTAATCACCATTAATCACTATCTGGTTGGTGGTTTTAACCATCTTGAAAACTATGAAAGTCAGTTAGGATGATTATTCCCAATATATGGAAAGTCATAAAAGTCATGTTCCAAACCACCAACCAGAATCTATGTACGGCGATGTAAGGGAATATACCCCGAAATATGGTTTTACATGGTACAGTAGCGTCAGTTTAGGTACCGCAAATTGCCACTGAGGATATGGACCCCTCATGATGAACCCCATATCCATTGTAATTATGCTCATTTCCTGCAGAATACACCCCTGAAACAACCACCACGAAAAGAGTTTAGTATTGAATCAAAACTACAACAAGATGCGGGTATACCCCAAAATCGAAATATATGTACAGTACTTGTTAGGTGGAACAATGGAGATAACATTTGCTTACGGTCTGGTAATCAAATACATGACTGGACAACAAAGAATTTATAGATTCCGGATAAAATAAGATAGGATTTTTACTATATGTTACATTCAAGGTATTTGAGCCCAATTTTGAGGTATTTGAGGTTACAAGTTCAAGATTTTTCCAAATACATTGAAATAAACATCTATATAGTCTATATATAGTGAATATTCATATTACTGTATATTACTAATATCTGAGCTAGTGAATATTAACATTCATAAACATTCATATTACTAATATCTGAAGTACATTTTTCAAATAATTAGTGAATATTTCAGCCAACAACATACTAGTTAATATAGCTACATCATCCCTGTGATGTCGCCTGGTATCCCAACATAATTCATCCAGCTATATAGCTATATTCATTAGAAAAAACTATGTTTAAAAGAATGATAACAACATATTTTCATCAGATACATCTCAAAAAAACTATGATATTCCAACAATTTTTAATCCATATATAATTACAGTATGTCATTATATCCATATGTTCAGGGACTTTCCCTCTTCAAGAACACACCATGAAGCCCATGAATTTTCAGCGATTCAAGCGGCATGGCCATGGGCGTTGTCAGCACATCCGACAGTGCGGCCTCCAGCCCCGCGAGCAGTTGATGATCCAACCAGCGGCTGCGATTCTGCCCCAGATGCTTGACCTGAGAGACGTCAGAATTCATATCACTATCAATCTGATACATCTATCATGTGTCTATAAATTGATATAAAAAAAACATATATATATATATATATATACCATCTGGTTATTTAACATAGCAATGGAAAATCACCATTTTTAATAGGTAAACCATCTATAAATGGGTCATTTCCCATGGCTATGTTAAATAACCAGAGGGTATATATCATATCAGAACCATATACCTATTAGAATTCACATCACTATCATGTGTCTGATATCATGGGCTCAAGGGATCCCTGAACGATTGCCACGGAAAGTGCCGGTGAATCCTATTTTTATCGTTGCAAATCATATAAGTATATTACGAAAATAGATCCCTACATAGATATATAGGACTATGTATATATAAAAAATATCATGAATGTATGGATATACATGTATATGTAAATGTATATGTATATATATATATTTATTGAAATGTAAATATATATAATGTACAATGTACAATGTACAATGTACAATGTATAATGTATAATTATGTGTATGTGTATGTGTATGTATGCATGTATGCATGTATGCATGTATGCATGCATGCATGCATGTATGTATGTAAGTATGTAAATATATATATATAAACATATATTATGGATTTCTATGGATATGTACGGATATATTATGTATGTGATAGGTCTTTCTCAAGGATACTATTGTATTAATAAGCAAATGCTTAAGATTCATCCTGTTAATCCAGTTGTTCCACCTATCCCAACATTGACAGTCACATCTTATCCCCATCTCCCCAAAATGGTTTGTTATATATATAAATATTATATATACATAGTCCTATATATACTATGTATTATATGTTCTTTTTTTGTTTTTAATACAAACATATATAATTAACTATGTATATACCATATATGAGCCCGCAAAAGAAAACACAAACAACTCATTATGGTATCAACTTTTCCAGGTGTCCATTTGTTGTTGTCTATTTTGGGGGTAAAACCAAATTTTTAGTTGGATAAAATATGACTTGAGGCCGGGGGTGGATGACGAAAGCTAGCGGGGTAGGAGAAAGAAGGAAGGGAAGACGTATCTTCAGTGTCAGCAGGGAAATGTCGGTGGCGTTTCCGCTTCAAACCCTTTGGTGTCATGGCGAGATTTCACGCTGTGCGTTTTCCATGGCGAGGCACGGCAAGGTAAGAGCGCAAAGCCGCGTTGATTCTGACATTGGCCCAGGTACTTGAATGCACTTTGTTTACTAAGCAAATGGAGCACAAAATGATAGAAAAGAAAAAGGCTTGAAAAGACGACAATGATTTGAAGATTATTTTTTCGGTCGGGCAAGTTAAGCCACCCGACCTCCACCATGAAACAATTTCCAAAGGACTCCTTAGACTTGCGTCCGAAAACGGATTTCAACTTTCAGGTTTGCCGATGCAAATCAAAAGAATCGAAATCGTAGACTGAGTAATTAAAGCATATGAAAGTAGTGAACTCTCCATCGAAGGTTTAGCCAGTAAAACTATGTACACCAAACTTGTGTGTTGGCTAGGAAAGACGTCCAATCATGGGGCATTCACTTGCCAGAAACCCAGACAGAATCAACGACTGGAAGTTGGACGGCGAAGGTGCATCTGTTGCACGTGGAGGCTGCCAATCTGCGTATCCGAATTATGGTTTGGAGCTTTCGAGGGGGGTTAAGGATGGTCAAAAAGGCTCAAAGGAACGGGATATCACATGTACGTACAGAGACATAGTATACATACACAGACACATACGTAGACATATACATACATATAGACATATACAGACACACACACACACATATATATATATATATGCATGTATGTGATCTTTAAATGTGCTAAAATCAGGGTCCCTGAAAAATGGATGATAAATACCGCCAAATCAAGATCAAAGGCGTCCTTTGGTTATCTTTGTTTACAGACTTAAAGGGAGTGTGGAAAGCCGAGAATCTACCTTGAGAAATTGAGCACATACAACGGAAACTAAGCGCATCATCTCTAGAACCTGTTTACACTGGTGTTCCCAATGCATGTCATGTAGGGGTAACATTCCAGCTACGGATGGAAACCACAAACATTCATTTGAGACCATAAACATTCAGTAAACCGATCCAACCCAGGATGAGGTGTAAATCAAAGAAGTAATTATGTGTTGATGAAACCAGATATCTCCTTCCGCATTTTTGCTTCTTAAATCCATATGTCTGACAGGTGCAAAAGCGCAAACATGTGCTACACGTTTGGAATGGTAAACAATTGAAACCCTGCAGCAGGAGGAAGCGGTCCGTCAAACTCTTCAGAAGGTTCCGGCTTCTCCACCTGACAAAGCCGCGAAGCACACAATCCTTTGACAAGAATTGAAAACACTCTGACCTCAAGCAGCCGGTAGAACGCGGCCCTGTCTGCCTGGCACCACCCAGGCTGCTAAGGGACTGGAAATTCAAGAAGGCTTGCACGAACTTCACGAGGAAAAACGAGTCCGACGGAATGTCGGATGAGCACTGCTCTTGCGTACTACTTTCCTGCTGCCTAGCGGCTCGTTGCCGGTGACATGGCTTCTTCCCTTTCCCCATCAAACGACAAAGTCAAAACCCCCAGGAGGATCGTTGACCTTTGCACATTGGTGGAACATGTTTCTGCAAATCCAACCAAACCCTACGGTCCTATGGTAGTGTGAGAAGCTGGAAACTCAACCAGATCTCATGAGAGAGGATGCCTATCCAAATCTCTTTGTTCACCACCTTGTTTTTGTTGCTGAGCAGCTGCGGCATGTTTCAGCGGGCATCAATGGGATGAAGATGAAAGTGAGGATGCTGACCCTCTACCAGCCGGAAATCTCCTCTCGGGAAGGCTCGGGGGGGACCGGGGGGGGGATCGAACCTGATGCCGATGATGACGATGATGATGAGGATGATGATGATGATTATGATGATGATGATGATGACGATGATGATGATGATGATAACAAAGTTGATGACGATGACAATGACGCTGACGCTGACGCTGACAACGACGATGACGGCTGAAAATGACAATGACGGTGACAAAGACAATGACGATGACAATGGCGAAGACAATGACACTGACAATGACGATGATGATGATGGTGATGATGATGATGGTGATGATGATGACGATGATGATGATGACGATGACGATGGTGATGATGGTGATGATGATGATGATGGTGATGATGATGCTCATGATGATGATGGTGATGTTGATGATGATGATGGTGATGATGATGGGGATGATGATATTGATGATGATGATGATGGTGATGATGATGATGGGGATGATGATGATGATGATGATGAAGCGGATGAGGCAGATGATCGGGGTGATGATGAGGAGGAGGATGATAAGGATGAGGAGATGATGATGATGATGATGGTGATGATGATGATGATGCTCATGATGATGATGATGATGATTATGATGATGATGATCATCATCACAATGACGAGAACGATGCCAATGACGATGACGATGACGACGATGATGACGATGATGCTGATGATGGTGATGGTGGTGGGGTTGGGGGGGCCCTTTCGCGTGAAAAATCATGTGATGTCCTTGAGCAGCCCCCGGAATACTTGCTAAAGCAAGAAGACTCCAGCTAGCTGACGCTAGCTTTCGTGATAAATGCCACCGAATTCCGAATGGCGACCATATTCTTAGGATCATTAGGATCTAATTTCTCCACTGAGACTACAACACATTGCCAATCATAGATACCCTGCAAAGAATGAAATCCTTAGCTGGTTAGTAGACATTCCTTGTTATAGATTTATAGCAACATATTTTTGAGGATTTCAACTGCCCATCTAAGGTTGACCTAGAACAGAGTCAACATGGGAGTACCGAATAGTACCACCTGGTAAACTGACATAACTACGTATGGAAAATCACGATTTTTAATGGGTAAATCCACTATAAATGGGCAATTTTCAATAGCTATGTCAGTCATTACCAGAGGGTAACGGACAGTTCATACTGTGATGACGAAAACCTACGTGGTCCCGTCCCCTTGGTCTTGAAGTTTGACCAAGGGGACCACTGGGGCGGTATCGCCGATCCTTGATCATCACAGGGTTCAAAAATCATCCCCACTTATTATACATCCATTACATGGTGAATCTTAGATGCCTGCCAAAACAAACTAATCATTATCTTTAGCTAGTCGGTAGATATTCCTATTAAAATCGCAAGATCTTATTTAGGATTAAACATCATTAAACTAGCCATCCAGTTGGTTGACCTGGATTCATTGAAGTCGCAACAGATTTAATCGGTTGTATCTGACGAATCTAACCAAGGGTTGACCCAGATTATACTCCCCTCATAATGATCCCAATGAAATCACTCCCTTATATCAATGGGAATTTCAGGATCCTGAAATGGAGATACTGTACCATAATGTACCATATCTTGGGCCATATTTTGCTGGGGATATTCCCTGAAATTTAGGCCTGAAAAATAGGCCTTATATATGGAATCGGTACCTCCAATAATTCGGATCCTGAAATGGCCGTTGACCTTATACCCCCATGGTGAATTTCACCACGTTCGATCACCAAGCTGCCAGCTTTTCGTGAAATCCACGGGCAGCGGTTTCGCCTTGAAAGACTCCCATCATGGCGGCGGGCTTGTCGATGTGCGACAAGTCGGTCTTCCTCGAAACGCAGAAATTGTCGCATGGTCGGACTGGATTGGTTCAAGGGATGAAAACAAAATTCACGGAAACCTCGATGTGGGAAAAACACTGCCATTTTTACCACCCATGACTGGGAATGGTAAGTTTATACCACTTCTTTATGGTGATGACTGGGGGATGGTAAAAATTCATGATTTGATGGTAAAAATTCGCCATGATTTCCTGTTTTTGAACCAGTCCAATGATCCAATGAGTATGGATAAAAAATCGACCACCAAATAAATGGATGATACGAGCTGGTTGCTGGTTGGTGGTTTTTCGCCTACCCTTCTGAAAAATGATGGAGTTCGTCAGCTGGGGTTACGAAATTCCCAACTGAATGGAAAAATAAAAGCCATGTTCCAAACCACCAACCAGTGTTAATACGAAAAATGAACTGAAATCTGTGGTCCCCCAGGTCTTAAATTTTGACACACACACACACACATTGAGCATCCTGGAAAAAAGTCTCTCGCAGTCATGAGGGGTCCGCCGTCTAGTTGACGCAGTGCACAAGCAAATCGAGCAGCACTTGGACTTCGCACAGGTACCTGAATATCTTATCTTGCCTGTATCATCCGTACAGGCATTCTGTGAGTTACCCAACAAAGCGGAAAAGGAATTGCAATACTCAGTGAAGTTGGGCGACATCACAGGCCTGAGGTCGTGTGGATGGCCCCGAGAAAACGATCCAAGCCATGCGGCTAAGCGATAAAGCCCTGTTGGTTGATGATTACTAAAGAGATGATACCTTAAGATATTGGGGAATATGATACCCTTTGGTCAATTAACAGTTCGACCCTGAAAATCACCAATTTTTAGAGGAAACTAATCTTCCAACCCCTATCTACCAGGGTCTATGTTAATTTACTGAAGGGTAATTCCTTATTGGAAATCCCGGAAATCCCTTCAAAAAACCAGCCAGTTTGAACAGAGGGACGAGGAGTTTTTTCACACTGACAGGGAATGTTGCTGCAAATTTGATACATCTGGCATAATCTGGCTGAATAAGAACTGGTTGGTGGTTTTAACCATCTTGAAAAATAATAGTCAATGGGAAGGATTATCCCATATATTATGGAAAAAATGTTTGAAACCACCAGCCAGAGAATTTACCAAGCTGAAACGTTCACTCCATTTCGGATGATTCATGATGATTCCCCCATGGTTTTCTGAAAGGGTAGAAAAGACGGCCTGGCGGCGTTTGTTGGACAATTTGAGGACGATTGACCAAGTGTGACCAGAATGATGTTCTTTGAACAACACTTATTCAGCTTGGGATTTGTTCTTTGGGCAACACATTCAAGGTGGGGGGTTGATATGCCAGTTATCTGGGAAAATTATACAGGATGGGCCCCCCCCAGTTACAGTATAAGTTGGTTTATAACCCCATCTAAATATAGTTATAAGAAGTTATAAGTATCATACACCAACGTGGTGTTATAGTTATAAACCAACTTAGCTAACGAACTGGGCCCCCATCATAGTTATCTAGTTCGCTATATCTACAATCAACCATAGATTTCAGCCAGTCATAAACCAACTGAACGCTAACAAACTAGGGCCCCATCCTGTACTTGGTGGCTCATCCCACTTAGTAATTGGGTGAAAAAAATCCAGTTATAAGTGGATTAACCCTACAAAAATCCCATGTAAATCACTGGGGTGAACTAACCCACTTACGATTCGTGGGTAGTTCGCCACCAAGTATAGATATATATATATTTACTATTTACCATAAACATCCAGAAACCATAGTTATCTAGTTCGTTATACACCATGAATACCATAGTTATCTAGTTCCTTATATCTACCAATCTACCAACATTTAACACCGGATGACCTGTCGGTTTGCCATATTTTCTCAAGGCGACTTCCCCAGTTTTTCCGATCCTTTTGTGGCTCCTAAAATGAGATTCCTTGAGCCCATGATATCAGACACATGATAGTGATGTGAATTCTAATAGGTATATGGTTCTGATATGGTATATATATAGTACTAACAATATGGATAACCTCCTCACTTATTTAAATTCAATGGATTGGTTTAAGGGAAAAATTACAGGAAAGTCCCATATGAAACATGGGAAAATCTATGGAATATAGCCTCTGGTTATGACTAACATAGCCACGGTTAAGCCATGGCCCATAGAAATAGATGGTTTACCTATTATAAATGCTGATTTTCCATGGCTATGTTAAATAACCAGATGGTAAATAACCTAAAATGGATTAGAATATGGGATAACGCCACTTCTCAACTATCCTAAAATGGAATAAGCCATGGATAACCCCACTTATTAACCATGATAACCCACTTACGTGATGCGTCCCTTGGAAGCGAGCGTCAAGGCGGATGCCACCCGATGCAAATCTGGAATGACCACCGTCTTTGGCGCCTCAGAACGACAAGGGGGATTCAACTTAAGGCTAGTGGATAAATTGAACCAGACCCTCCAAGTTCCCAAAAAAAAAATGCACTGAGTTGTACCCCATAAGATTTTTAGTTCAACCATAAGATATTGGAGCTATTTTTGTTGGGTTTATCGGAGATGGAGTTGATTCTAGACATTGGCAAAACGCGATGATTTTTAAACAACCCTTAAATGACTTTTTGTGGTGTCAAGATGTGTCGATCTTGTGAAAGGAACCCAGTGAATCCATCTGGTGGGTGGTTGAGCTACCAACCCCTCTGAAAAAATTGAATCACTTGGGATAGGTTGGGATGATGTTACTATTCCCAACTGTTTCTGGAAAGTCATTGGAAAGTCATATTCCAAACCGCCAACCAGATCAAATGAACTAGTGATGAGTTACAAGTTCCGTGGCAAACACTTACACTTCTTCGAATGGTTCCAAGTTCACTCATGGATTTTTTGATCTGAAATGCATCACCCGTCAATGGAGATATTTGATACCTGGGTCTTCCTTTATATGTTTTTGTTGCCTCAGAAAACGCACTTTTTTTTAAATCAGGTTGGTGCCACTGTTTTGGCTTCGGCATTTTTTTGATGTCTTCTATTTTTCCGTTCTTGATGGTCTGTATATTCGGCCTTCATCATGAACCAATACCATCATTTGGAGATATCTTCAGGCAATCTAACTCTCAGATACTGAATTACGGAATAGTGATGTAACAGTTGGGTTACAGTGTAAACACAAAGACATTAGAAGCTAGGCCGACCAATGGGAAGATTACCGTACGGAAGTCTGCCTGGCCCTCCCAACAAGTGAGGTTAAAACGTTTTTTTTTGTGTGAAGAATTCATAGATGTGCAATAAGCTGTGTACACTGGCTGTGTTTTGGGGTGGGATTGTTTTGTACTTAATTCAATGACCATTTCAGGCACCTAAATTGGAGGTACCTACCATACATACGGCCTATATAAGGCCTAATTTTAAGGGAATATCCCCACAAAATATGGCCTGATATGGTACAGTACCATTGATTAATATAACGTGTTGCAATAATCCCATTATACCAAATTTGATCAAACCATATCGACCTTGGACGAGTTTTTCACCCCGAATACAGAAATTGAGAGGCCACTCCCCCCAAAATAGTTCTTTTATTTACTACAGGATACAGGATGGGGCCCCCAAGATAGCGTTCAGTTGAGATATTTTAGTGATTTAACTATGGTTTATGGTAGATATAACTATAGTCAATGGGCTTTATAAACCAACAAACACAACTGGGGGGCACCATCCTGTAGTGAAATTGGTACCACCCCTACACGGCCTCAGCCCCCAAAAAAGATTGCTAAGGTGACGCAAATAACTTGCTTAACGTTTGGCTTGTGAAAATGGGGGTTTATAAACGTTCACATCACTGGTCAGCCTCACCTTTTCCCATTAATTAATCAATAATTTCACCATCATTATTAATCATTATTGACCATCATTGTTAACCATCATGTTACCAATTATAAAACTTGCTATCCTATCCACATTACCCCTATGACTTCGAACACCTCCATTGAGTTCCTGGATTGCCAAGGCACAGGTGATTTGCCGCCGGCCTGTCGATTGCGATGCTGTGGCTTCCAGTGCAAGTCCAAAATTGGGGTAGCAAAAAATACTAGGTAAATATAAGTAAATAATCAAACCATAGGTAAATATACTAGTGATAACCAATCATCTATGATAACTGGTATCACCATAGGTGAATACTTAAGAATATTATTTCCAATTTTGTGGATATTGACTGATATTGATATTGATATTCCAAACATCATCAAAAAAAGTGATTGCCAATTTGGACAGGACAATGAGGTTTTAAACATATTCTGAACATGTTGGCGCCAACCTCTGGGTTCGCCTACAAGCCATTCCCACTCTGGCAACAAACCTGCATGCCCACATATCATGATGCGTATTTGGCTTAAAAAGAACAATGTTTCGTATGATTCAGTTTCTGTAGGGTGTTAGGATACATGTTTTTTGGGTTTTGGGTTTCAGGGTTTATTTTTCTTGAAAAAACGGATGATGATGATAAATGAGTTTTTTTTGCAGTATACAAAATTGTTCCGAGTAGAGCGTGTGCAAGCGTAGGGGTTGCAGCGAACATGTTGAAACCATTGAGTGTTGAGGGCTACCCACGTGTTGGAATCAGGCATGAACCTTTCAACATCCAATTCTGCACATCTCAGCTATTCACTTCGCAATGTGATTCTGATTTTATAGAACAACTGACCCAAGGATGAGAGATCTGGTAAAGCTTATGCCATAACCCATCTCCAACATGGCTTTATTATTGTGTATATCCCTAATGGGATGATGTAGCCCCAAGATGGTTGCTTCTTGGGATGGCTTATGGCATCTTATGCCAGCTTCAGTTTTGGCCACCGGGAATTCCCATATCACAAGCCATTCTTTGACAACCAACAAAATTGGCCAATGTGTCGTTATTACATCGTGTGTTTTGTTCCATATCACCTTCATGATTACCTTGATCATCTATATCATCTCTGACAAAATGTTTGGTTCATAATGGGAGTTGCTTAAAATGGGGGTACCTTTTTTTTTCATCATCCAAGTCATGCATGACATCATGACCATGAATTAGGATCATCTATGATCATCTATGATATGGGGATATATGGGGATATCTCAAAATAGGGCTCCCCCAAGGCCTTATATCTTCAATACTAAAATGCTCTCATGACTAGGATGATTTTTAGGATCCCCCATGGCGCCGGCTGGGGAATCCACGAAGTAAATTTTAAGTCGAAATAGAGGTTTCTAGCTGGTATTTTATATAATGGTTAGCCTATATAATCTGGTTGGTGGTTTCAACCTACCATTGTGGTTAATATACTGTTAATATATGGTTAATGATGATGGTTATTATATGGTAAATGCTGGTCAAACATTACTGGTTGGTGGTTGAGCCCTACCCCTCTGAAATATGATGGAGTTCGTCAATGGGAAGGATGCCAACCCATATATGACATGGAAAAAAAAGCCAAGTTCCAAACCACCAACCAGATTATTTCAATGGAGGTCTCTAGCTGGGAACTCAGAATGCGCTTTTTTGCCATGCTTGATGACACTGCTATCAATAATGTCCTTTTGGTAAAAATAGAGGGGCCGGGAGCTGATATACCATCTATCATCATAGAAACCTGTTGTTATTTCGGGGTTTCTTCAACCCCCTCTTTTTTCATCAACCAACCCATGGGAAAAGGACATCTATGGATTTACCCAACAATTAATCCACAATCAGGATAGATGGATGGTACCCTCTGGTAAATTAACATAGACCCTGGCAGTTGTCGGGGTTGGTTCAGACTAGTTTCCATTAAAAAATGCTGATTTTCAGGGTCCAACTGTTTATTTACCAGAGGGTATCTATTATTAGGTTTACCCTCTGGTAATTTAACATAGCTATTGAAATGGCCCATTTCTAGTTGATTTTCCTATTGACGATGGTGATTTTCCATAGCTATGTTAGTTTACCAGAGGGTACCACATTATCTTCCGACTGCTATTGTCATTTCCAGGTTTCCACAGGTATTCCCATGATTCGTCCATGGGATACATCGGAAACATTCGGATTCCCATGGCGAATCTACAGATCCAATGGATATATACTGATCGCGAATTCTAGAAATTCTAGTTGGAGATGTGAAGTGCCAATATCATGGCATACATCGAATAGCTCCTGGAAGTTGGGAAATCATTGGTTGACATTGATTTATGGGTCTGTGCAAATTATAATAATTCACTAAATCAATGTCAATTGATGATCATTTAATGGTATATTAACATCCAGAAAAACATCCATAAAAAAATATGGGTAAATGATAATTTAAATAATAATTCACTCACCTGAAATGTTGGGCCAGCTATTGGGATGATTCCCCCTATATCTAAACAAACCATGATGAACCAGGCTTCGGGAGAACAGGCTTCGGTCCATGCTCGGTCCATAGCCTGACGAAATGTAAAAAACATACCCAGATAAAGTGGTGATTTTAATGTGTTGTTAGAAGCATTTATAGTAACATTTATTGTGATAGCACATTTGTCTGGGTAAATTATAGTGACCAACAATTATAGTTGTTGTGAGACGTTAGAAACTATAAATGTTGGTCACAAAAACCAGGTGCTATCCATGGAATTATCCATGGAATTATCCATGGAATTATCACCGTGATGGTTCTCGAGTTGGTCTGATGATTCTCATCCCTTACAATCTGTCATAATATTCTATGACTGGTTGGTGGTATACCTACCCCTCTGAAAAATATTAGTCAGTGGGATGATTATTCACAACTGAATGGAAAAATGAAAAATGTTCCAAACCACCAACCAGATGAGGCATGGTCTGGCAGTTGTAACATAATTTGCCAAACAACAACCTCTCCATCATTATCATCATTGATCGGCCATATGATTTTCACCTCTTCAGCTGGTTTGCACCGCCATTCCATTCTTGGGAGTGCATTCCACTTAGTAAGTGGATAATAATCACATTATACCCCAGTATTATCCTAGTTATGGAAGATTCCCAGTTACATATATGGGTTATAAACCACTTGCTAAGTGAAATGCACATCCAAGCATTCCACTCGTTGGTTCATTACAGCTTGCGCACTTGACCCAGTTGACTCAGCTTGGCTCCTCGGAAAGGGAAGCAGCACCGCCGGAAAAGCTCAAGGGCATCTGCTGCCCTTCATAAAGCTCCTGTAGCCACTGTGAGCCGTGCATCCCCAAAAAAATCAAAGATAGAGATATTTACCCTAGGTAGATCATTTTGGGATGGTTAATTTACCCTAGGTAGATCATTTTGGGATGGTTAATTTACCCTAGGTAGATCTACATATCTATAGGTAAATAGGGTAAACTAACATAGATATGGAAAATCAATGAACATCAACTGTAGATCATTTTCTTGGGGTTTTCCAGATCGAACTGTTGGTTTTTACCCTGAGGATCCCCAGTTTTTTTTTTTACTTTTTATATACCCAATGTCTAGACAGATTAGAGAGATCAGTTGTCCAATTTTGATGATTTTGATGGGCATTCAGAATCATCAGCTACGAAGGGGTGAAAAATAACGTTATATATGTTTTGGTTTTCCAGGTTACCACACGATTGACCAAAGTGGAAATAATTGGGAACACCACCAAATTGAGAGGAAACCACATACCCAGAAAATGCTCCGGGTTGGCAGGAAGAATCTTCCTTTCTTGTGCTTGAAATCAGATATAGCAAACCCAACCTGGATATGGGAAACCAATAGTCATGTAATATGAAAAAAAACATTCACAACAAAACTGGTTGGTGGTTTTAACCATCTTCAAAAATATGAAAGTCAATGGGAAGGATTATCCCATATATTATGGAAAATATAAAATGTTTGAAACCACTAACCAGAAAATGCTGGAAATACTCAAACCAATTTACAGCTTTCTCGTCCCTTGAAACACTGGTTGAGTGGCCGGAATTCCCAGTGACCATGATTTAATGATATGTTTCTATAATCACCGGTATATATTGGATAATCGGAAAGTATAACCCTATATCACCTATATATATATACACAAACACATCAAAATCAATGAATATGTCTATATGAAATGAAATGAAAGGGAAATACATCAGGATGCCACCAGCTCATGTATATATATATATACACAGTTCTCCAATAAGAATATGGAATATCAATATCCACAAATACATAGAATCATAGAACCTTAAGATTTTCTACAATGTGTGGGCCCCCCAAAACCATTGAACCAAGAGCCGTTGAACGTAGCAAACTCCAAGAACTCCAAGGCCTTAAGGTTGATATAAATTGATATATATATATAGTTTATGGTCCATATATGTCCATATGGTTGATATATGGTTGATATACGTTTGATATATGGTTGATATATGCTTGATATGTATATATATATATGTTTGATATATTTGGTTGAAATTAATCGAACTAGATCGAACTAGTCAATGCGGCTCAAACACCCATTATGCACCAATCAACACCTGGCAGACTGGGGGCACTTCGAAATCGCAAGGTTTCGTCGAACGAATGGCCTTGTGCTCGCCGGTTGCTTCGTCCAGCCACAAGAACTTTCGATTGGAGGTCACAAAAAAAATCTTGTCCTGGCAGGGGGCAGGGGTCAGTTGACCTAAAATTGGGAATGGGATTTAGTGGAATATAGTGGGATAAAAATGTAGAATATATCTAATAATATGATATTCTAATGGCATTATAATAAATATCGTGGGATGATATCATATAATATCATATAATGCAATAAAATGGACAAGGTGGGGCCCCGTACTTAGCAAAGTTGGCTAAGTTTACAATTTTGTCACTTGGATTTGCGGTGGATATATCGATGGCGAGCAACGCCAGTACCCTGACAGCCGGGGGTTGATCCACTTCAATTTGCCCGAAACTAGCAAGGTGGGGGACTCAAGAACCATCCTCAGTAATGTCACCCCGGATTAATAAACCATGGTTCATTAATTAGGGGGGTACTCCTCCAATAGTCATTTCATCTGATACTTTTTTATGGTACCCTCCCAATTAAACAGCCGTTTGGGGTTTAGTAATCCAGGGTTGACATCATGGCCAGAAATGGGACTACCAACCCTCCAACAGTACCACATGGGACTCATACAGGGACCAGAGTGACGGGTCAGTTGACGTTGGAATAAAACCAGTGTTACCATCAAATCATTGCTGTCTTCAAATACCGCTTGAACATAAATCAAATAACTGGTTGGTGGTATACCTACCCCTCTGAAAAATCTGAGTTCGTCAGTTGGGATGATTCTTCCCAACTATCAACTGAATCAACTGAATTGGAAAGTCAAAAAAATCATGTTCCAAACCACCAACCAAACATAAATCAAATAACCAATCTTTGATTTTGATTTGAGAAAGTCTCCGCTGTCCTTGGGAATCACCGGGATGAACCATGTAAAAAACTCCCGCTGGAAAGGGCTTCAAAATTCTCCCGCAACTGGGACTTAGACCCTTTGCCGATGTCAAATGTGTATGGATGTAGAGACCTAGACCCACAATGGTTAAAGTACTGGAATTATCTCAGGTAAACCGCCACTTTTCTGGGTACTTGGAGGGTCCAAGGGAGATAAAGAGACACATAGATGGATAGACAAATAATGACAAATATATGTTCCAACTATAGATAGACACTCTTGTTGTTTTTGATGCTCTGTCTCTTTGAAACCAACCGGTACTGCGAATGCTTCGAAATCACAAAAAAACCTGGCCAAACTGCTGAATTTCCGATTCTCCAAGGTTCCGCTCGATTGTAGTACCAACCTGGTTTGTCCTGAGTGATGGGGAGCAATATTGGGGTCAATGGAGCATTGACTCTCTCTGACGCTTTTTATAGGAAATCCAATAACTCCAAACAATCGGATTGAGGGCTAGACTATTTCAGCCAAACCCACATGGGTAAACATATCAGAAATGGATTTGGGGGTAGATTGCATATAGAGCTGGGTGAAAGGAGTAAGCTGTCGCATCCTATAACCATAGGTGTACCCAAGCAAACCATGGTTCGAGTATCAATACCTGGTGGTATACCTACCCCTCTGAAAAATATGAGTTCGTCAGTTGGGAGTCTTATTCCCAATATATGGAAAGTCATAAAAGCCATGTTCCAAACCACCAACCAGTTATAGATGATTTTCCCAGCACTATAAAGCTTCATTTACAGGGGATTTCCCATGGCCGTTCATAGTGGCTTTTCCCATTAAAAATGGTGATTTGCCATAGCTATGTTAGTTTACCAGAGGGTATCCATACTATTTACGTTGAGCTGTCCTACTGCTGAAATTTCAGCTCCAGCATGGCCATGGCCTTCTGAGAACGCAAAAGAAACACAGACTATAGGTCCAGGCATGTCCAGATCGCAATGGCCGATCATTTTGGATCACCGTCCCACCTACGGTTGAAAACAAAGCATGTATGTATATATATATATCTAATATAAAAAACTATAATATAGTGTAATATAATATAATAATATACAATATACTATACATAATATTATATATACTTTATATATTATATATAGTATATATAATATTATATATACTATATAAAATATTATATATACTATATAGAATATTATATATAGTATATATAATACTACATATACTATATATAATATTATATGTAGTAAATATAATATTATATATAATATTATATATAGTATATATAATACATATATATAGTATATAGAATATATATAGTATATAGAATATATATATAGTATATAGAATATAGATAGCATATATATATAGTACATATATATATATGTATATATATGTAATATATATATATTATAATATATATTATACACACACATATATATAATATAATATTACTTGGATGTGCATTTCAGGTAAGGGGGTTATAGCCGACAAATAAGTGCGAATCTTCCATAAATAATCCATATTATAACTGGCTATAGGTGGTTTATAAACCACAACTGGAAAATTCCAATATTCAGTGTATATATATAAAACTAGGGCTATACTGGGCTATATCCACGAGCCGTGGGATGCACCAATTCAGCATATAACCATAGTTGTGGAAGATTGAAACAATGGACTTTTGATCACCCCAACTTTGTGATGATATCACACACGCCAGAGATGAGATTTTCTACCTTTTTGAGAAAACGATTTGAGAATTAAAATGTTTTTTTGTCATTAAGCAATGTGAACTTCAACCAGCTGATATGATATGTCCAACCATAGTGTAGTTTCATGTGTGCAGGAAGTTCTCTTCCAATCGACCTGCCACATGGAGGTCGTGACAGCCCAGTGCTCAGAAGCTGGATCCAGAGGGGAGATGGGATTGTTTTCGCTATCCCCAGGATGGGCCCCCCCTTCAGATAGCGAGCTAAGTTCTAAGTTGCCTAAAAAAAGTGGCTGAATTGACTCTGGTTTATAGTAGATATAACAACTATAGATAACTATATAGTAGATTACAACCATAGTTATAACTATAGATATAACCCCATTATATAACATTATAACATTAATGGGGTTTATAAACCAATGTTCACATCACTGTCTGCGCCCATCCTATAAGATCTCCCGGCATATCCCGGCAGCTGCGCTCGAGTCGCTGTCTCTTCAAACCCCGCTGGAAGAGCCTCCCCTGCATTGCCCTGGAAGATGTCAGCTGAAAACGATTTCCCTATGTAATGGGTTAGTTCATAATCAACCAATACCTAAATACCTTGGTAATGATTAAAATACCTTGGTTGATTACATAGGGAAATTTTAATAAAATAACACATTGGTATGATTACCTTAAGGTAGAACTCCCATACCTAATCAACCAAGGTAATTTTAATAGCCTACCTTAATGGGGTGCAGTTCCACTAAGAAAAGTGGTTAACAAAACCCACAGAGAAAACAGGGCAAACGCTCCCAATCTATGGGTTTTATGGGTTTTATTGCAATTTATTACTTATTACCATAGGGTAAACTAACACAGACGTAGAAAAGAAATGGTGTCCCTAGGAACATGATGTACACATGGTGGGGTTGTCTATGTTAGTTTACAGGAAATTATATCCATTAAAATCACCCCAGTCCTTCACCAAATTAAACATCACTTGCCAGCAGAAGGTGATAGGAATGACCGAAGGATCTGAGAACTTGATTTTTGATCCTTCAGGGGTCAAGAGAAAAACTCCAGTTTGATAATTCGCCAAGTGGTGTTTTCAAGCTTTCCAGCACCTGGTTTTTGAAGAGCTCCGGGTTGTTCGCCTGTCGGAGGGGCGCTTGGAATGGTGGCCACGTTTCAAAAATCGCCATGAAATCACCATCAAATGCACCATTCAATACACCGTCGAATCCCCATGAAAGGGAAAACCCTAGAAATGGGATTGTCTGAACATAGGGTATATTCCCAATTATAGCCATTTAATAGGGATAATGATCATTAACCATTGGGTTTAGGGGTACACTATTTTCAGACACACCCAAATGGAGGTTTTAATGGGAACATCATTGACTTGAAGGAATTTCCCTTGCCATGTTTCATTACCAGAAATGCATAAAAAGGAATCGGGACTCACACAACATGTTCGGCCACTTGGGGATGATTTCTCCCCAAAAAAACATGACTCCAGGCATCGGGGAACAGTGAGCTCGCAACATAAACCCAGAAATTATCCATGATATGCCATAATATACCCATTAAACCACTATGTTCTCCCATAATTAAATCACCACCAATCACTTTGTGAAGCATATCCAAGAAAATCTATCGTTTCTTGGTTGCTTATCCTTAAAACGCTGCTTGGTTAACACACACACACAGGATCTGATGGGTGACTCCACCAAACACACAACGATCATAGTAATAACGATAAGAATAATTATGACACTAGTAACAATACTGGTTGGTGGTTTTAACCATCTTGAAAAATATTAGTCAATGGGAAGGATTATCCCATATATTATGGAAAATAATAATGTTTGAAACCACCAACCAGAATATATACGATTGCACTGTTAGTATATATGACAATAGTAATGGCTGTTAGTATATATGACTATTAACTTACTATAGTAACAATAATTATGACAATATATACCATATAGCAAGGTAAGGCATGACAATACTAACAATTATTTAATACGACCATAGTAATGGCTGTTAGTAAAATAATTACTAACAATTTAGCCTGCATGTATGGTATATTTTCTCTACATTCAGGTGATTTTTGAGGTAAACGTTGGTAAACATTCTATACTTGGAGCATCCGGATATAAATAGTAAACACGAACGAGGAAGATATAACCAACAATCCAGGGTCAATAACCTTGGGATGATAACCACATTTGGATAAGTATCATATGACCTCACTTTTTGGCTCATCCCACTTAGTGAGTGGGTTAGTTTACCACAGCTATTTGTTTGGGTGAAACATCATGGACTCCATGGTCATGGCCATGAATGCTCGGAATCTGTGGAATCATGTGGAATCAAGCCTAAAACAGGTGAAGCAGTGGTGGGAACCATGCCAACTGCACTGGGGTTTCCACTGTGCTGACCAAGAAAGGATCCTGGGCAACCTCTTTGCCAACTCTGCAAAGCCCAACCAGAGAGTGTGTATTGGGGCTGGATGGCTGGATTTTGGAAGAAGCGGTCTCTTGCGGTCTCTTGGGGCCACTCGAGTTGCTGCAAGTGGCTGCAAGTGACCGGTTTTTCGAAAATCAATTTCCGCGCGTCCTGCGTGCTCAATGCACGTTTGGATGAGTATCAATAAGTATCAATACGTATCATATGACCTCACTTTTTGGCTCATCCCACTTAGTGGGTGGGTTAGTTTACCACAGGTATTTGTTTGCACCAACCATACTTACCCTGCTGAATTAACTGGGGTGAACTGAGCCACGTTGACTCATCCTCTTAGTTCGCCACCAAGTAACCTCAGTCATTGTGACGTGTCATAGTACCCTCTGGTAAATTAACAGTTCGACCCTGGCAGATAGGGGTTGGAAGATTAGTTTCCACTAAAACTAGGCTATTTTCAGGGTCTATGTTAATTTACTGAAGGGTCATGGTCATCTATATACACTCATTCTTTATCAACAATTATTAGCCATTTTCAACCATTACTAACCAGTATAAACCATTAAAAACAAAATATAGTTGACAAATATTGCTTGGGCCAATCCGCTTTTGGTCGCTGCACAAGTGGCCTTCAACTTCCATAGATCTTTTCCACCTAAAATCGGTCAAGGATCTGCTCGCCGGGACCCAACGCAACGGCGAATCTTAGAATATCTCTTCCATCAATGGATTGGTTTCAGGGAAAATGCGAACTGGAACCGCCCCATATGAAACATGGGAGAATCCATGGTTTCCGGTCAAGTTTTTCTCTTATTTCTGGTTAAGATTTTGCCCTCAAACCAATCCGTTGATTCAAACGAAGGGGGTTGCTGGCCATCGGTATACTGATACAAATCATCTGGCGGTTCTTTGTCACATCTAAGGATGAGAAAGGATGAATCTGAAACTGAGGTTTCCAAATCTGTAGTGTTCACTTGTCCTTGCGGTTCACTTAAGACATAAGATATCATAAGATTATTCCAAGCATGGAACATTTGAGATATATAGTATGTCTGCATGTTGAATCACCAGCAAATATGGGCTTGCCTAAAAATGAGGTGCCTCGAATTCCCATGAATTACCATACTGTCCCCTATCAAAATTACCATTTGGAGTACAAAAAAATGTTCAGACACATCCACGTGATTCCTCAACTTATGGCCAAACACATGCCAACCCCGGATTAATGAACCATAGTTTATTAACTAGGGGGTTCTTCCCCAATAGTCATATCACCTGATTTTTTTAAAAATGGTACCCCCCCCCCCAATTTAACAGCCGTTTGGGGTTTAATCCAGGGTTGACATCATGAAACCACTGATTTTCCGCAAGTCCTGACAGAAAAAATCTTTAGACACAACTGTTTGCGAACTACTCACCAATAAACCATGATATATAACATGTTTGCTAGAATGCAATCTATTCAGAAACTACTCACCGACAAACCATGATTTATAAGATGATATAACATGATGTAAATACGCTTGTCGTTGACGAATTAAACATGAAGATCTGGCAAGTCTTAAATCTACAACTTGGGAGAGGAGTTCCACTAGTATGTGCTATAACTATAGCCGCACAGTGGGCTTAGATCCTGACCGATCTTTTCCCCGCTGGCCACCCACCATTGATTTTCCCATTACTCTCATCATTATCAATATCTAAGGCAGCAATATCCTACGGTGGGTGGTTGCGAAATCCGAATCACCAGTTGATAGATGGGCAAAATCCCATTATTTATAGGGTTTCAAGCATCCTTTTGGTGGTGCAGGATTTCTCAACCATCCACAGTATGTGTTGGTTGCAACAGGTTAACCAATCTCTAACTAACCAACACCGCAAAGCACATCTGAGGTCCCCAACTGTTTCCACTGGTGTACCAAAAGTTGGCACTGGACACTCCTGCTTGTCTCTCCTGCTTGGCCGTCAACACCGCTGCATACCTCAACAAAAACAAAAAATTGCTTGCACGGGCCGGAAATGCGGATTCCGCGGGTTAGTAATGGCTCTTGATGGTCATTAATTACTGGGGATAATGGTTAATGGTCATTCATGGTCATCTATTGGTATTGAGCATATTCAATGATATACCATGATAATCACCAACAGACACTGGGACGCTAGAAAAAAACAACGGGCACTATTAAGCAATTAGAAAACCATAACCATGGTATATATATATAAGACATGATAAGACTATGTACCCTCCAGTAAATTAACAGTTCGACCCTGGCAGACAGGGGTTGAAAGACTAGTTTCCACTAAACAAATGGTGTTTTCAGGGTCGAACTGTTAATTTACTGGAGGGTAAACTACACTCAAATGGGGTTACCCTCTGGTAATTTAACAGTTTTCTATTGAACATGGTCATTTAGAAATTGTTGATTTATGCATTAAAAGTAATGATATTCCATGGTTTTTTGTATGTTTACCAGAGGGTATGCCCAATATGATGCAACGAATATGAAAGATATCCTCTGGTTCAATGGGATTTATAGTGATTTAATGGGATATTAATGGGATATACCCTCTGGTTATGTTCCAAGAAACATTCGTTAACTGTGTCCATAAGTTGACACCGTTTTGACCTCCCGTCGTCGTCTAAAGGGATCCAAAGACCATGGGGATGTTACAGCTAGCCACGTTTTACCAGAGGCTACCGGTAAACATACAAAAAACGATGGAACATCACCATTTTTAATAGGAAAACTATGGGAAAACCATGGGAAAATGGTGATTTATATGGAAAATCACTATCTGTAAGTTCGGTAAATCATCTATTTCTATGGCCCATTTTCAATAGCGAACTGTTAGATTCCCAGAGGCTAGATTGCAATAATTCATAATAATTCACCCACTTGCGAAGCTTCCGGCCATTTTGGGATAGTAGCCCCAACCCAATTCTCATCACTTTGAGTGACAACGCCTGCGCGGCAGCTTTTTAAGTTGAACAATTTCTCCAGTATTGTGGATGCAACACTTGTGCTCCTTAGAAAAATGCTGAACATCAAAAAATAGCTGGGAAACAAGATATCATGAGACATCCTAGATCTATATAGATCTTGAACTTTCCTTGAACAGGAAAGTACCCCCGACCAATGGCGTCTTTGGGGAAACTTCTTAAAACACATTCCCTGTTGATAACTTTCAAACTACAGTGGGTTATCATAATCCCCGATAGATAGGCTAGTATAAGTTTTTAGATCCTTAACCAATCAACCCAGGTGTCACTTACACGTTTCCATGGTGTACACAACCCTTGATTTTCACCAGTTTCCACTTGGATTTTATCAAATAATGTGTGCTGCTGAAACTGGATGATCCTCGAAGTGAGTTCCTAATATAGGGTTATTTCAATGGGAATTTCAGGATCCTAAAATAGAGGTACGTTAGTAGCATATAAGGTCATATTGTGTGGGGATATTCCCTGAAATTTAGGCCTTATATATGGTAGGTACCTCGAATTTAGGTTCCTGAAATTCCCATTGGTTATTGCCCATAAAAAGTGAAGTCTTTGATTTAGGGTATATATAAGTTAAGTGACGAAACAAAGTTACAAATCGCTTTCTGATATTTCATAGATCACTATGCAGTTGCAGATAAATGACCAATCCGCTGACCCTGTGATTTTCTCATCCGACCTATCCCGCTGACCCCCTACATTTTCTCTAAGCACCCCCGCTTGCCAGCCATGGCGGTGAGTGGCGCGACATCAACCAGCAGGTCACATGTGGTGGGGGTGAAGCCTTCGAGTTTTGTGAGAACGATAATTGTGAGACAGACAAAACAAGAATACATAGAGAGTTACATGGACTAATACTAGAGAAATCTTCAGAATATATGATTGTATAATTAACGTAACCATGTCAATTCCAGTGGGTTAATCATGTCAATTCCCCATTAACCATTATCTAACGTGACACCCACTGGTTCTCCTATACTTTTACAGAATACAGATCGAGGAAAATTTGGTTCCTGGTTTTCCGATGATTCAACATGAACAAAAAACCACTCACCCAGCAAGTTTCTGCTGTGCCGACTCCATCGGTCGGTGATCCTCTCTGCAGCTTCCTCCATTCGGATCAGTCGGATTTCTGCAGCTTGGAGTTCCGGTTGCATGAATGGAACACACATGGCTTCAGAGGTGTTTGAGACTTTCCTGCGGCGAACTTTTTTTTGATGCCCAAAGCAGGAAACAGAAATATTAAGCCATCTGATAGGTTCATGGTGAATCTTAGATACCTGCCATGGCACATCTAATTTTCAGCTGGTGAATGAACTCATTTTTACCATTGATAGCAACAGATTCAGTTGTACGCAGGGACTCCACGGCCAATCTGATTGGGCTTCTCAGTGGCAAACTCTGGTCCCAACGGTGCAACAATGAAGTCCGTAGAACTCAACCAACCCCATTAAAGTGACTCCCCAATAATAGATGATTAAGATATATTAAGATATTACAATACTGGTAGTTAGTAAGCCCTTATTGGTGGTTGTTGGGCGTGAATAGACCCAAAACATATATCCAAACATTGCGGCTTTCTGGGTGATATCCCGGCATTACCAAGAGGTATCCTTCACCACTGCTCAACAGATTTAATATGATTTCATCTAGCCATTAGGTATAACATATCAATGTTCCGCCCCCCCCAAAAAAAACATGTGGGGTTGTACAGAAACCGGGTATCTTTTTAAATTACCCAATCCAAGCCAAAATGAAATGCCCGGGGTTATTATACAATCCCATGTACTGTAGTCTGTGAAAAATCTAATGGTGACGACTTCGTCGTGGTTCGGCTGACTTCCCAGGATGTTGCTACAGTTCTGCCAGTGCGTCCGCCAGTGCGTCCGTGAAATTAGGTAACTCATCCAGACTGTGTAGAAAAAATCCTATTGAAATCGCAACATCGTTTTTTCAACGGATTTTTTACTAGCCATCCAGTGGGTTAATCCATTATCTAAGTATTAAAAAAAAGATGTTGGATGGGTAGTATAATGACAGTTAAAATCCATTAATATCTATATCACATTGGTTAATCTATTCATAGTGATGATAGTTATCTAACACATTATTATCACTATCATTATAATTAACATATTATAACTATCGTTATCATCCATATATCATCCATGATTATTTCCCTACCCATCCAGTTGACTTCGCAACCCTCCCAGCCCAAAACTCAGATTTTGTCGCACGGCTCCTGGCCTTAGGCCGTGGCACGTCGCGCACTTCCACCGAGGGCCGCGGCGCTTCCGGCGTTTCCGGCGGTGCTTTGTCACGCTTCACCATGCAGGCCCAAGGATGCCGCAGTAAGTCGTCCAGCGACAGTCCTGGTGTCTGAAAATGGCAAAATCCCAAGCATTTTCTTCATAATGTGATGATAAACCATGAAAAAAAGAAGTGAAATGGGGACTAAGAGAATTAGCATTCTTTAGTTGTTATATGTTGGTATACACTAGAGTTACATAGTTGTTATATGTTGTTTTCTCTTTAGACCAAAACTATTTAATATTACAGATAATTAGTTGTTTTTTATGTTGGTATTTTTAGAGCAAACAAACAGTAACATCAGTTAAACCATTGGATTGAAATCTTCCCATCTGTCGAAAATTCACGTGACTTGTACTGATTCAATCTCGAAGACACATTCATAACACATAAAACATGATAAACCATATCCCAGCAATTAGATCCAATGTTGTGCTTTTTCCTTCTGGGTTACGGCTTAGAGAAAATCGAGGCGCTTTTTTCAGAGTGCAGCGAAAAAAACACATCCCTGCGCCAAGAGTCGTTGATCTTTCTCGACCAAAAGGCCACGGATGATCTCTTCCTTGCAGGGATCCCATGGCATTGCGTGAGGAATGACCTAATCTTAGCCAGTGATGCGATCATGATGTGTCAAATATTCAGTGTTTTATTTGTTTTTTCTAATGTGGCTATCTATAGTATACCCTGGAAAGAAAAGCGTTTTTAGCTTGGTAGTGTATATATATATATAATAGTGTTATATATCGCCAATAATCAATTATGGGATAAAACATGCATATTATGTTGTTTGCGCAGAACATTTCATTTCCCACTAAATACAAGGTCACGGATAGATTTATCTAGCAAACAGTGCATCCGGATTAATCATATAAATTTCATGAGCTGGGATACCACTAAGCACTACAAAAACCTTGACACCCTGCAACACGAAAAAGGTACCACATCTATGTATAGAATTGTATAGATATACACATACAGATATGCACTTAGGCTCTCCAAGGACCCTAAAAACCGACACTTTACCCTACAACTTTAATATGTTTGCCTCTTCTTATGGGTACTTGGAAGGTCTAATCCAACATTCAACAAGGCAAAGCCAGTGACCATGAGGGTTTTCACATGAAAATCGGGTTCCATGGATGTTTATCCCCCCAAAATAGGGTACCCTCTGGCAAACATACAAAAAACTATTGAAAATGGCCATTGACATAGTGGATTTTCCCAATAAACATGGTGATTTTCCATAGTTTTTTGTATGTTTACCAGGCCGGGTATTTCAATTCATTTCATCTGTTTTGATCTCCATAAACGCAATGGACCCGTGGAATTCATCCGATGATTTTCCAGTTCCCAGCACTTTAACCGGGTGTCGGGTGCATGCAGTTCCTCTTCCTCTCGATCGCTCGGAATCCTCAACACGATCCACTGGGATTGGCGGATTTTGGGGGGGTTTTCGCCCTGAATCAACCGGATGTCTGGCGGTCTACCTCGAATCAGGCCCAACAGAGTGGGAATGGCTTTGAACGACTAAACGAAATTGGGGTCACGTTGGGGACTTTCGGGTGGACTGGAGTGATTTTGATGGCGCCCATTTGAAAGAAAGCCTATAAGTTGGGACGCACAGCCTAGAACTATGACTGGAGGTGGTGGTTTCAACCCCTCTGAAAAATATGACTTCGTCAGTTGGGATGATTATTCCCAACTGAATGGGAAAACATGTTCCAAACCACCAAGCAGTATTATATATGTATATGTAGTGGAACTGCATCCTTTTTGAAGCACGCAATCTGAATCCATTGAAACCAGTTTTTTTTTTCATGATTTTCTGACTAGGAATGCATTTCCCATCTGGATGATCAAAGGACTGTTTTGGAAAAAACATGCCAACTTGACTCCAGAAAATGAACCGTCAACCCCTTGAGATACAGCAAATTAACCCCAGTTCCGGAAATAAGAATCTCAAGTAAAACTTTTAAGATATACATAAATCAAGTTCAATTTGAGAGACCAACAGGGAGGTCTCCCAAAATTGGGGTCCTGTAACCCTAAATCATCCATTTGAACAGGATTGTCCATGAAATAAACATAAATCTGGGCTGGGTAAATTATAATATTTCACTAACCTGAATTAAGGCCATTTGGGGATGATTTCCCCTACAAAAACCATGATTTCCAGTGAGGTCGCAGTGAGGTCGTTGTCATTTACCCAGATAAATAAACCATCCGGCTATTGGGGGTACCCCAAATAGCAAATCACACTCTCCCAGCATCCGATTTTCATATGGTGCAAGGAAAAATCCCACGCGGGACGGTTTCATAAACCCTCACCACTATTTAAAAAAAACCAAGCGTTTTGAAAGGTATGTTGTTGCTTGATGAATAGCTATGCTTCCTCGTTTCTTTTCTTGTTCTTTCAACCCTTCCATCTTTTCACATCTTTTCACATGTATTTGTTTTCAATTGGGCAATTTCTTCGGCAAGACATGTCCGGAGTCCCAGTATGGTTGGCCTCAACTATGGTGAATCTTAGATCCCTGCAACAAAATATCATTTTTAGCTGGATACCACAAGAATAAGTTGAATGAACGTTCGTATCTAACCAGTCGACCCAGAAATCACATCACTACACTTAAGGATCCGTGGTTCATAATTTACAACATTAATCCACAACATACCCTCTGGTAAACGTTTACATAGCTATGGAAAATCCACCAATTTTTAATGGGTAAATCCACTATGTCAATGGCCATTTTCAAGTTCGCAAACTGTTCGTTTACCAGGCCGGGTAATCCACATATTCTGGTTGGTGGTTTCAACCCCTCTGAAAAATATTAGTCAATGGGAAGGATTATCCCATATATTATGGAAAATAAAAACCATGTTCCAAACCACCAACCAGTATTAATATCCCATTGAATCACTATTATAAATCCCATTATATAAATCACTATAAATCACTATCAAATTCCATTAAACTAACATCAATTTACCATAGATCCACAGGTTCATAATCCACAACATGAATTCATGACGCCCCCATATCATCCCATGAGGATCTTATCACGGTGCCCCCTATCCGTCGCAAACAAAAAATTTGCTATGGTAAAAATGGCGAAATCCGTGATTTTACCTATTGAACAATGGTGATTTATGGTGATTTTCCATAGTTATACCGTTATACCTCTTGAACATGCTGATTTTCCCAGAGTTTATGTTATGTTTATGTATTGTTTACCAGAGCTATTCTGTATTGACAGGACTCTGGTAGTTCAACGCGCAGATGTTCTCCATTTTTTCCTTTGGCGACCTGAACAGTTCCAAGATTCTGAAGACAGATGGGGCCCCCTTCAGATAGCGAGCTCAGTTGCCTAAAAAAAGTGGCCGAATTAAGTCTGGTTTATGCTAGATATAACGAACTAGATAACTATAGTATTCATGGGGTGAATCTAAACCAACGTTCACATCACTGGGCCCCATCCTGTACCCTCTGGTAATCAAACATAGCGTTCTGGGAAATCCCCTACTATATATAGAGGTTTTTCATCGGAAAATCAATGGACAAATATGGGAAACCATATTATACATTAAGCTCTTAATGTGGTTAAAACAATAATACACCATCCCCAAAAGCACCATAAATGGGTGGTATAGACCATCAAAAATGGGGTGGTTTATTATTGTTTTAAACAACATTATATAGTGGGACAATCATCTACAAAATGGGATAAAAAAACAAACATCTAGAAATTGACAAAAAACATCTAGAAATTAGGGGGAAAAACATCTATCAATGGCTCTATATTGTAAATGAAGCAGACCGACCATGTTGACACCGGAGGGTTCACCAGGTTCATACCTGGGACTCCGAGATTTCTATTTAAATGGATGATTCAGGGGTACCACCATTTTAGGAAACCTCCATATACATATATATATATATATACCCTCATAGACATGCGGCGTTTTTCCTCAAAATATTACACATAGAGCCTGAAGTTTGCCCAAACCCAGAATAGCGTCAATTACTAGTTTTTTTTTTGCACACTATACATATCATATGAATTCTCCCACCCCCCGTTAAACTTCTACATTCACTGAAGATCGTCAATAAGGGTTTAATACATGTTGTTTATGTGGATTATATTGGTTATCATCATCATCATCATCATCATCATCATGCCCGGACACTCGTTGCGAGTCCGGGCAAACCTCAGGGTCTTGCCATAGTATTAGTACCACCATTTTCTTGAGCTGTTTGGAGGGTCTATCTGTATATATATATGTGTATATGTATATATATATACACCCTCTGGTAAACGTTTACATAACTATGGAAAATCCACCCATTTTCTAGCTGGGAAAACCCACTATGTCAATCACCATTTTTTTGCTGCTTCAACCCACTGTTGGAACTTAAAGCTGTCTGGGGCGCTGGAACGGCTGGTGTAAAGGTTGCGTATTGCTCTTGGTGCTCTTGATGTGCATCCAACTTAGGATTTGTAGTTTATAATCCATATATAGGTATAGAATTACTGTGGGTATCCCCTATTTTCAGACAAACCCATGTATATATATATATACATATCGTATCATAATACGTACAAGGACTACCCCCATATCTGAGCAAATTCTAATAGTTACCAAATCAAAGATGCTTGGGGCCCACAATAAGACTTAATAAGACTACACTGGTTATTTAATGGTGACGATACTGATTATATCATATCCGTGGGTGTTGCCATATGGAGGCTATTATCCCATATTACAATGAATATATTTCTATGGTGCCAAAAAGAATAGCCCTAGTCCTGCATCCCAAGTGAACAGTTTTCAAAACCCTCTGTCTTTACTGAACGGATTTCCCAGTTCATTGATGATCATTCCGAATCTATAAAGGATACATATAGGATACATATAACCATGGTAAAACCCTGAACCAATCATCAACTAACCATCAACCAACCGTCATCTATCAACTATATGCCGATATATCCTCAGATCTTTGCTGGTCAAATGATGCTATTCAATACCCATCAACCAACCATTCTATCATCAACCAAGAGGGACAAGCATCATGTAAATATCCCCTTATGAAAATAATGCTTGAGCCCTTAAGAATGACATAATTTTGTTGAGTTTATCACTGAATAACAGTTGATGGAAATCTGCCTTTTGTTGATGGTTGAATTCTCATTGACTAACCGTTCTGTCATCATTAAATGAATATTGATCAGCTATGCAGCTAGATCATGTTATATACCCACAGGATGGGGCCCCCAAGATAGTTGAGCGGAGATATGTTTGTGGTTTACTATGGTTTATGCTAGATATAACTAGAGTTAATGGCGCTTATAAACAAATTTATAACTGGTGGGCACCATCCTGCATGTTTCTGTTGGTTATAAATGATAACTTAAATCTCCAGTTGTTAATGATAACAAACTCACCGTCAACAGCGCCCCAGCAACCAACCAATCAAAACGGCGCCTTCCTGTGAAGGGTGCACGGGCAAAGAGCATCTCAAAAAGAAGAACTCCTGAAGCTTTGGACGAAAGCCGCCGATTCAATTCATCCAACCGTTGGATTTTTAGAATTAGATTCACCAGAAATCATAATCCAACTGAACATAATAATACATTAACCACAAATAGGAGTGTGACTGAATTTAGTGTACCATGAAGTATGGTTTGAGCAACACATTGATAAACCTGGGAGTTTATCATCAGAAATTGATGCCATGAACCCAAAAATGGAGACTTAGTCGGTCCCATGAGCTTGGCAACTTTATGACCTCTTGGATTTATGATGATTTTTGATGTGCTGCAAAGCTTTTGGTTTTGTCTGAAAAAATGGTATCCTCTCATCCTGGAAATTAGATACATTTCATCCCATTAACAATGACCATTTTATGATTATACCACGTATCGGGACAAACCTGAATCATATGGCTGGCTACATCGCCATAGCCCCCTACGTCTCGAGGAATCGTCAATCTCCACTAGAACGATTCACGTATGTAGAAACCCGCAATACAATATGCGTCTCTGTCATTTGGGGTGGGGATGGAGTGGGGTGGGGTTGGGCAATAACGTTCATGTCAACGTGAACACGAATGGAAGTGTAATTTGTGCATTGGGGTGGGTCTCAAGCGGCGTGCTACTCTATGGCTATCTTCTTTGGTGTATCCTTTCTTTCTACACTGCCTTCCAGGATTGTTCCTGGAACCTGGCTTGTGCCTGGTCTTCTCTAATTTGGCTCTAAGTCTGTTGATTTCTAAAGCTGCTCTGGAGGTGCAACTTTCCAAGCGATGGCCAGCTTTGCCGCAACCAAGGCATTTCCAAGTCATCAAGGTTTTCCCACAGATCTTGCCACATGAACATTATCAACTTTATCTATTTTTGAAACCTGTCAGGTCGTGAAACCTAGATTGTTAGTTTTTCGGACCCTGAAACAACCTGCAATTGACTTAGAATGAGGCATGAAAAAAAACGGGAAAATGAACATGAAAATGGCTGCGGCATATATACACGAGACAAACATATTCAAGTTCCAAAACACATGATGCAGAAACCGACGCGGATTTCTATATACGTGAAGCCTAAAAGCCCTGGATTTTATACCCACATTCCTGGATACCCAACCCCTTGAGAAGGAGCCACTGAGACGAAACATATGATCCACAGAGGAAATATGTATATTTTTTTACACAGGATACAAGTCGTATAGAACTTGATATTTAAACAGATAGATAAGTGGATGGACAAACGGATATCCATAGACAGAAGAATAGATAGGTAGACAAGTAAATAGACAAATAGAGATATAGATATAGAATCTGGATATATATATATATATAGATACATATATCGCATGTTCCATCATATATACATGTATGATATGCTCAAACCATATATATTTGACACGTCTTCAAGCGGCAATAAACTCGGCGATCGTATGCCGGGTGTGAGCATCCATGCCGTGGAAAATTTTGAATCCAGCCACATCGTGGGTATTTACATAACATTGCCACTCTTAGATACCCTGCAAAAAATGACAGCTTCTTAGCTGGGAAATGAAGATATTCCTATTTAAAAATATAGGATTAAACTACCCATCTAGTTAGGCAATCCATTATATATTATGAAACATCATTAAAACATCATTATCACTATCTTTAAAACTATCATTATCATCCATTATTACTTCCCTACCCACCCAGCTGGTTGACCTAAATTCCCATTCTTCACTTTATTGCCATCTCCCAAGAACTTGGAAAACTTAAACATAACTACCCTCTGGTGAACTAACAGTTTGCAATTGAAAATGGCCATAGAAATCGTGGATTTTCCCATTAAACATAGCCATTTTCCATTGCTATGTTAGTTCACGGTAAACATACAAAAAGCTATTGAAAATGGCCATTGACATAGTGGATTTTCCCATTAAAAATGGTGATTTTCCATAGCAAACTGTTAGTTCACCAGAGGCTAAGCCATGTGACTGTCATGACACAAATCAAGATACTACAAGGTACAAGGTGAGGCCTTGCAGCAGTTGCTATACTGCTATACCCCATAAAAACTACATATTAAAATGTAGCATATACATAGTAGCTATATATATACATACAGTATAGCCATCATCAAGCCGACTTATATATTTATATAATCATTCATGATAAGCTATTGAAAAATATTTCTATAATCATTAATAAATCATTAATAATCACCTACTATTAACTGGGAATCATCGATTTCGTGCGAAAAAAATACAATAACTTTACTGAACCAATTGATGTGCGTCAACATCTCGCGATTTCGTAACTTCGGGGGCCTCACCTTGTGGATGTGTTTTCAACGGGTTCCACGTCATGTCTACAGGCGCTTTGATTTTTTTTGACCTGTTGAAAGACCATCAATTCTGCATTCTAAAAAAACATCCCAAAGTAGCATGTCTAAAACACTAGAAAAACAGAAAATAACATCTTGAAAATCTTTATTCTAGAAAACAAACTTCTAACCGATTCTAAAGGCGCTTGTTCTTTAAAAACAAGATGAAGCCCACGAACCCGAATGCTCACACGTATGTCCAAGATAACGATGTTAAAGTATCGATAATGATATGAGATGCAAATGTCAATGCTCAAACCTATTGCTCCGGAACTGTTTTCTCTCCGCGACAGCAGCACTGGCGTCACAACGCAGTGGCGCGCGGCAAGCAGCGCCTTCCAAGACATGGAAACCATGCGAGACGAATGTGTTGGGAATCGCATGCGTCGATGCAACAAGATAAAATGGCGATCCCATCTCTTCAGCCAGGTGTGGAATGGAAAGTGTAGAGTGTGGAGTGTGGAGTGTAAAGTGGGGAGTGTGGAGTGTAGTGTGGGGTGAGGAGTGTAAAGTGTAAAGTGTGGAGTGTAAAGTGTAGAGTGTGGAGTGCGGAGCTTCCCCCATAGACACGGCGACGCCACAGGAAAACCAGAGACTCGAAACGAGACACGTGGGTGCAAAAAAACGAGCATTTCGTGCGAGACTTCCGCCAATTTTGATATTTTCCACATGTTATCAAACAGGTTGGAATGTCACAAAGTGCCATGCCTGCCACGCAAAACGACATGACAACCTGCTTGGAAACCTTGGAAAAGGAGAAATTTTGCAGCTTCCCTCATAGACACTGCGAAGCCACAGGAAAACCAGAGACTCGAGACGAAACACGTGGGCGCAAACAAACGAGCATTTCGTGCGAGACTTCCTCCAAGCTTGATATCTTCGACACGTTATCAAACAGGTTGGAATGTCACAAAGTGCCACGCCTGCCACGCAAAACGACATGACAACCTGCTTGGACACATTCGAATCGGAGAGGTTTTCCAGCTTCCCCCATAGACACGGCGACGCCACAGGGAAACCAGCGACTCGACACAAGACACGTGAATGCAGAAAAACCAGCATTTCGTACGAGCCTTCCTCCTTTTTTTGTGTTTTTGAGTTTGGAAGTGTGTGAATTGAAAACGCTCCGACGTTGCTTCTGTTGCTCAAAGCAATGCTGAGTAGTGTCTGGGGCGCCAAACCTCAGGCGGCTGTCCTCCAGGTGCCGTGTGCGGCTAGACATGAAAAAGGAAAAAATCGTCTTGACCGACTGGAAGTACGGTGCTTTGAAAGGGAGGAGCTCAGAGCCATGGGCCGAGTGTATCCAATTTGTACCCCATGAAGAAGCTGACTGACAGCAATGAGCGCTTGCAAGCGCTAGCGGCAGCGGAGAGTCACTTTCACGCCACGCTGCGTGATATGCTTCAGGGCAAACACCGCCCTACGGCGGAGCCGCCGTCCGATGAAGCGACGGGCTCAGTATCTTCTTCTCCCGCTGTTCCTGCATCGGCGTTGTCTCAGCCTGCTTCCTCAGAGGTGCCATGGTTGCGTAGCTCGGGTGCGGCTATGGGAGCTTCTCGAATGCGGCGGCAGAGGCAGAAGCGTCAAGCGCCAACATGGCCGACAAACTAGCCACCACTCCACACTTTACACTCCATACGCCACACTCTACACTTTACACTCCGCATTCTACACTTTACACACTCTACACTCCCCACTCTACACTTTACATTCCACACTGCAGACTCGTAACTAGGGAAACATTTACAAGACTGTTCAAATATAAACTATTGCAGAAAGGTATTGTGCGTGACTGCATAGCCATGTGTTTTGACATCTGTACCATTAACATACGTATTTACAAGACTGTTCAAATATAAACTATTGCAGAAAGGTATTGTGCGTGACTGCATAGCCATGTGTTTTGACATCTATACCATTAACATACGTGTGAGCATTCAGGAAAACCAGCGACTCGAGACAAGACACGTGGATGCAGTAAAACCAGCTTTTCGCACGAGACTTCCTCCAATTTTGACATTTTGGACACATCATCAAACAGGTTGGGATGTCACAAAGTGCCACGCCTGCCACGCAAAACGACATGACAACTTCCTTGGAAACCTTCGAAAAGAAGAGGTTTTGCGGCTTCCCACATAGACACTGCGAAGCCACAGGAAAACCAGAGACTCGAGACGAAACACGTGGGCGCAAACAAACGAGCATTTCGTGCGAGACTTCCTCCAATTTTCACACTTTGTAGCTTCAAAATCGACGTTTTCCTACGAGTTTTCCTTAGAACGTGAAAATTGGCAACCTCAAAATCGATGTTTCGTGCGAGGCTTCCGTCAATTTTCAGCACATGTCAGAAAATGCCACGCCTGCCACGGAATTTGCACCTTGTCGCCACTTGACGCAGCCCTGCCAATGCGATTTGCAAAAAACACGCAACATGACACGTCTAAAGTGCTGCGCCTGCCACGAAAAATGGCGATGGACACGTCCAAAGTGCTGCACCTGCCACGAAAACTGCAACACATCTTCGGAAAACGTCGCAAAAGTATTGCGCCTGCCACGCAAAACGACTTTCGACACGTTCCAGAACACGTCTAAATGTCACGAAGTGCCACGCCTGCCACGCGAAACGAAGCAACGACACGTCTGAAACCTCCAAAAATTACCACCTCTGCAGAACTTCCCATAGGCACGGCCATACGGTCCTCACGCGAACGGTTGCGGACGGTTGCGGACGGTTGCGACCGTGAACGCAACGTCGAGCGAACACACCCTCAACCCCCAGACCCCCAGAGTGAAACGGGAACCCTTGCTACGCATTCGGGAAAAAACATCTTTGAATATTCCAATGTGGCTTCCACCCGATGCCATACATCATTCTCCATTCCACCAGAAATGTGGAATTGTCATTGAATTTACCAAAGGATTGGCTAAATCATCACGGTGCTAAATCCCCTTTTTTGGTGGTGAAATACGCTATTGATCATTATTAATCACCATTTCCAATGGCTATATCCGCCCCCCCCCCCCAAAAAAACGAGTCAGTTAAACTTTTCAAATATTGCAATATGTTATCCTTTCCACCATACGATATTGAATATCCTATCTATTGCAATATCCTATCTATTGAATATCCACCTATTCAAGGTTTTCAAATATTGATAGGATATTCTTTCCACCATACCAGGGTGAAACTTAGATACCGGCCCCCCCCCAAAAAATGTTTAGCTGGTGAATGGCCTCATTTTACCATTGACATCGCAAAAAAATCATTAAGTTGTACGAGCGTTCGTTTCCAAGTCGGTTGACCCAGTTCTTAAACATATGAGATATCCATATATATAATTATGTATATATATATATATACGTATTTATATATATATATGGAGGTTTCCTGAAATGGGGGTACCCCTAAATCATCCATTTATAAATGGATTTTCCATGAAAAACAACATTCATTTTGGGGTACCGCCATTTATGGAAACCGCCATCTATATATCCCATGTATCATCCCATGAATAATTTCCAATCTTAGAGACACCGAGCGTCCAAGTGCCCAAAGATCCACCCGCTGATCATGATCTTCGCCACCTCCAAGCCGACTCGAAGAGTGGGTGTTCATGAATGTTAATGGCTAATGAATGGTTATTACATGGATATTGCAATCATTAGAAATAACCAGGAATTACTAATGTATATACAAATATAAAAAGAATAATTTATGTCCATCAATGGGAAAATACAGTAATGTGGTTCAAACAGTGCCATAAACCACCCATTTGGGAATAGTTTATACAACCTATTTATGGTGATGATTGGGGGATGTTTTATTATTGTGTTACCTGCATTGTATAAAATTGTTACTTCATGATTTTTACATGTTATTACATGTTATTACATGTTATATGTTATTACATGTTATTACATGTTATTACATGTTATTACATGTTATTACATATTATTACATGTTATTACATGTTATTACATGTTATTACATGTTATTACATATTTTTACCCGTGGTTAAATACTATTCCCATTGATGGACATGTACGGAAAATATGATGGACATATCTTTCCATACTGTATGTATCTGTATGTTGTGTCATTCCAAGGGGTCATCATTCGGCCAAGAGGGGCTGGACACGATGATACGTTGGATTGTGCGCTATGCCACTATGCCATTCATTCGGACCTCGGTAGCCTCGATATCCAGAAATCTGCAGAGTGTGCCGTGGGGTTCATTCCCCATCATATGTGTGTGGAAATTGTATACAATATAGTTCTATCATATGAATATGCATATATTATTATGCTTAAAGTCTGTTTAATATGTTGTAGTATACACTACATATTTTTGTATATCGAACTTATAGATATATATGCTTCTATTAGTCTACACTATAATTATAATTATATATATACATATGTATATATATTGATATTTTGTTCATAGGTTGAGTCGCTCCAATTCCCGGTTGGCCGTCACCGGCCTACCATTTCGGGCGCCGCATAGTCCAGCGTGCCGCAGAAGGTGCGGCGCGTGGACTGCGACCAATCGGCGCACCATCCGAAGTCGCCCAGCTTCGCCAGCAGCTCGTCACCAAAGAGCAGAAGGTTCTCGGGCTTCACATCACGGTGGGCCTCGCCGCGAGGTCCAAAAAAAGGCCATATTTTGTGGGGATATTCCCTGAAATTTAGGCCTGAAATATAGGCCTTATATATGGTAGGTACCTCCAATCTAGGATCCTGAAATGGCCATTGAGATAAGGCCATGCTGGGAAAGTAGATGATGGTAAACTTTTAATGATTGGGATGATTGATGATAGATGATGAATTTTGGATGGTATCAAGGATAATTACATGATACTATCATTTTCAAAAATTGGACATCATTAAATGGTTGGATATTACATGATAGATATTCGAATTTCAGGGATTTCTTATTAAAACATCAGGTACCACATGATGGTGCCCCCCCAGTGATGTGCATGTTTATAAACCCCATGAAAAGTATAGTTCAATATCATGTTATATCTACATATATCTACAATTTTCAGCATAGAATTCAACCACAAGCACATCTCAACATATCTCCACTGCATGCTATCGAACGGGGGGGCCATCCCTTCTGGGAATGGATGGGAATGGGATTGATTATTGATAGTTATTACAATGTGGTGCCTCATAGTTAGCTAAGTTGGTTTATAACTCCAAAAACTATGGTTTATGGTAAATATATCTATACTTACTATGGTTTATAAACCTATAAGTGGGGGGGGGCACCACCTTGTATGGATCATTCCCTCATTCCCGAAGCCACAGGAAGTCGGTAGGGTAGCGTCTGTGGTGGTCGTGGCCGGTTATGGAAAATGAAAACATGGTGAATGAGATCGGGTAAATATCTGCAGTATTATGCGCGTTTGATGTTTATCATACAACTATAATCAACTATAGATATATATGGGTAAATTACAATATTTCACACACCTGGAAGGCTATATTGTGAAGATTCCCCGTACTAACCATGATTCCAGTGAGGTCGCAGTGAGGTCGTTATAATTTACCCATATATATATACACACCTGTATGATTCCGATGTAGAATTTTGCTTCGTTAGCACAGAAATTGGCTTTTTGCAACTAAAAAGAAGGATCATGACTTGGTGCTTTTTCTAAGCAGGGGCCGAGATTAGCCAAGCTATAAACAAAAATTGACAAAGCCACTTACAGACTGGTTAATCTTTGTGACACTATTAGTAGCATAATATACTCTATTACTATTTGATATACACTATTGACAGACAGACATGGGATTGCTCAGTCACCTTACCTCCCGCTTGTTGTATCTGTATCCCCACTGCTTCATGCTGTGGCTGACAGCCGGGTGCACAGGATCCAGGAGCCAGTCACTGCAAGGTGTCGCATGGGCGAGGCGGCACGGGGACAACACTCGAAAATGCTAGCGACGCTCCAGGTCAATGGAGCTACGTTGTTTCGCCACATTGACATGTTACAGGGAGAATTGTAAGGACATTCAGTGCTTGCCTAGGCCACCACAGTACGAGCGAAGCTACTGAGTTGTGCTGGTCAATCTTTGGTAGTCCCGCCCAAAAGTGTTTGTAGCAAACAACTAACAGATTAAAGTACCCATCCAAGGTTGGGGTTTCAGAGAAGAACATGAGGAAGCTTACCAACATGTCCGGGTTGGCAAAAACAACCGCAGTTGAAAAAAAAAAGAAGAGTTCGGCGCTTCGAACGGGAAGACGAAAACATCCGCACACAATTCAACAAAGGCTATGTGGTGGTGCAAGTGAATCATGTGGATTCGCCGACCTGAATCTAAACGGATTCGGCAAGTTGAAATTTGGGTATGTAATTCACTCCAAGAGGTGTTGTGACAAAGTCATATACATACATATATATATATAATTATATATATATATATATTGCCTTAAGAGATCTTTTTGGGTTTCACCAGCACTTTTTTTTTTGTATCGAGAGCCTCATTGGAAGTTTTCCTTGAAGCCCTGATGATTCACTCGGATGTGCGTTTCAGATAGGGGAAGTAGCCATTTATGACTGAACATATTCCATATCTAACTAGGGATATACTGGGGTATAATATGGTTAATTATACAAATTATTAGTTATTTTCCACTAACTAAGTCTACATACCCAAGTATAACTTCAAATGAGATGAATGTATGAGATGTGAACATTACTATAATTCACTATGCATCCAACAACTTTCCAGGAAGGTACTTGGCCACCTAAATCATACCCAAAACACTCCCTCAGAAGGCATTTGGATCCATAGGGTATGATATTTCATGGGAATTTACCATCAATGAATCCTGGTTCGTGGTATACCTACCCCTCTGAAAAATGATGGAGTTCGTCAGTTGGGATGATAGCCCGCAGACTAATCATGCACCAACAGATCCCCAAACAGTAATCAGTCTCAATCTACGTGTCTATCTGACTAATCTGACTAATTAGTAGCGACCAGTAGCGAACAAACTGAGGAGAAAGTGGGGCCGAAGAAACTCAACACATTCCAGTTATAACATATATTAACGTATGCTTTTAACACATATAGTTGGTGGATCAGAATCAGAATCCCTTTTGAATGAATTTCCAGTCCCGCCCATGGCTTCGCCCCGAGCGGCTATGTACAAGTGATGCAAATAGGAGATGCCATTGGTGGCATCAAAGAAGAACGCGCAGGCGCGAGGAGCTTTCACCATTCCCACCAATTGCAGGTAGTTGAAGAGTGGTCCTGCGGTGTCACTCGAAGTGCTGTTTATCCTTCTGGATCCCGTAGCTTCGATGGGCGATGAGGGGGGTTAAGATACGTTACCCTCGGGTAATGACTAACGGTTTGCTATTGAAAATGGCCCAGTCGAAATAGATGTTTTTCCCATTAAGCATGGTGATTTTCCATCGTTTTTTGCCTTGAAAGAAAGTCGATCTGAGACCAACAATGTGAAGGATCGACGGATCGACTCTCCGACCCAGAAGTGGTATGTCACCGTATCACTTTATCCTCTGCTTATGACTAACATAGCCATGGATGGCCCAGTTATAGATGGTTTACCTATTAAAAATGGTGATTTTCCATGGCTATATTAAATAACCAAATGGTAGTACTTTGACCAAAATTCCGAATAGTGAACATTTATGGTGGATTTCCAGCCAGCCTAACTCCACGCTTCTTATGATCCCATATTAGCTTAAGTAAAACAAATAGCACGTTGGTTTACAAAAACAACATTAATCCACTGCGTCCCTGCATCCCCAGTGGTAAAAAATCAATAACGTGTCATTTGAAGTTGAGTCATTCAAACGTTCTGCCCGGTTCGGTATCAACCACCAGGAAATAAACCCCATGAAAACAGGTGGACCTGTCAGATGATATCAGCATGAAATTTTTAGCATTGAAACATCTTTGAAACTCTTTTTCCAAGCAAAAATTCGAATTCCCAATCCAAATCATTGGGTATTCCGTAACTTACTTTCCTCCAATCTGACCTGTCCTTGATCTGCAAATTCCAATAAGCAGTAAATTCGACAACTGTCTTCCTTCGGTCGGGTTATCTCAGTCCCCGATCTGTGATCTTGGGATATACATGGATATACCCGGCCTGGTAAACGTTTACATGGGGAAAATCCACCCAATTTTCATGGGAAAAACCACTATTTCTATGGCCATGGCTTCAATAGCTATGTGAGTTTACCGGAGGGTAACATGGCTGTGGAAAATCCAGCCATTTTTTATGGGAAAATCAACAAAGATGGTCATGTTCAATAGAGAACTGTTTAATTACCAGAGGGTAAAACACATTGAACTGTGAAGTTCAGGTACACGTTGACTATGGATCTTAATGGATCTTTAGATTCACGCCATGAACATGAGTTGTATCATAGAATCATGGAAACATATCCAGAAGCCAAACGGTAGGCGAGCGATTTGCATCAACGTAGTAGTGAGTTATCAAATCAGCTTTATAGTGTTAAATAAGTATTAATGGAATTAACATATTCAATTCTTTAGTTCAGCGATATTTTCACTTAATTCACCATTAAATTCTGGTTGGTGGTTTCAACCCCTCTGGAAAATATGAAAGGGAGTATTATTCCCAATATATGGAAAAATAAAAACCATGTTCCAAACCACCAACCAGCCATTATTCTTGGTTAAACGATGTAAAAAAACACTATTGGTGATCGCTATATCCCATCGTATTCCTATAAAATCCCCTGAATTTTCGCGGTGAACTCTCAATGTTCGCATGGTTCTCTGATGTTTTGCACCATTTTTCTGATGGATGATCTCTGCTTGGGTACAGTACATTCCCCCAAACATGGTGGAAACTAGTTGATAGATGGATGTGTGTATATAATATATAAATGTATATTCCCGTTTAAATGCCACTTTATATATCTATGAATTGTAACATCTAATATATGTGTATAAATATATATATATTGCAATGTAGATATATATATATATTAATATATGATTTGTATAATTGTATAGTTGCATATATATATAATATATCTACATATGTAGCAACAAGAAGGCCTTTTTCGAACTTCTCCAACGAAGTCTGCAATGGCGACTCATCCCATACCCCCCAAGGGCGGAGATTCGAAGTAGTAGTGCAGTTTCACCAAATTCTCATGTTTCACCATGAGCTGTGTGAGTACCTCGCCTCGGCAAGTCTGAAGCTTTTGGAGCGTTTGGGCTTTGCGGAGAAAAGTCACGCCTCGATGGTTTTAATGTTCATTTGGTGTTAAAAATTCATGATGACCCTCCAAAAATGCAGTTTTTAGCCAGGTTGAATGATGTTGAATGCAAGAATTCAGATTAGAATTCTGGGTAAGTGGTGACAATTATTCACAATTCACTTGAAATCATTGACCTTGGGGATAGTTGGCCAGAACTACCATTCCGATCAATTAACACCATTCCGTCGTCATTCCGTCGCGATGTGAGGGCTTTGATGTCCATTTTCTATGCGGGGAAGTTGACAAGAAAACACTCATGATAATCCCAATCCTCAAGTTTCCTTGACCCCCCACAGCGTGGGCCCAGCTGAGTCACGTTTCACTTGTTCTTCCATCTGCAATTGGGTAACTTTGGCCTCGCGGGTTGCAGGCAATCCATCACTGAAGCACTTTTTTCAAGTTTATTTCAGAGGTCTGTGGTCAAATCATGTCAAATCACACCGAACTGGAACTGATTTCTCAAGGCAATACAAGCAGGGCAGCAGGGTGAACATCTCTGAAGTCGTTGCAGCCATGGACTTTTTCGGCTCATCAAAAGTCATCGTTGTCCCGTTCGACCATGGGATCGCTCGTGTGACTTTGCCCGAAAAAACGCTCGTTATGATTCATGATGGTGGTGCCCCCAGTCGATAGTGTTCAGTTGGTGCAAATAACTCCAATGTCACTATGGTTTTTGTTGGTGATATATCGAACTAGTTAATGTTGGTTTATAACTCCAATGTCACTATGGTTTATAGGTGATATATGGTGATATATCCAACTAGTATTCATGGGGTTTAAAACCAACAAACATCACCTTTGGGGGCACCACCGGCACCACCTTGTGGTAAACGACCTAAAACTCATCCCACGGCTGGTGCCGGAAATCCTCAGGGAACCCTGGTCCAATCATGCCACGGCCATCATGTTTTCAAGTGATTTAATGGGATTTTATAGTGATTCAATGGGATTTTATAGTGATTTAATGGGATTTTATAGTGATTTAATGGGATTTTATAGTGATTTAATGGGATTTTATAGTGATTTAATGGGATTTTATAGTGATTTAATGGGATTTTATAGTGATTCAATGGGATATTAATGGGATATACCATCTGGTTATGACTAACAGTTCGCCAACAGTTCGCCATGGTTTTTCGATGGCCCTAATCGAAATAGATGGTTTACCGAACTTTTTATAAAATTGGTGGATTTTCCATGGCGAACTGTTAAGTAACCAGATGGTAGTCTTTGTTCTGGGTAAATCACCCTCTGGTAAGTTAACAGTTCGACCCTGAAAATAGGCCATTTTTAGATATTTTTTGTGGTTTCACTCATCTTCCAAGCCCCGGACTCATGGCAGAGTCTATGTGAAAATTTACAGGAGAGTAAAACAAAAATCGCTCACCTGAAATGAAGCTCTATAACAGTTAATGAATCATTATAGTTAGAGAATCCAATAATTATCACCATCACACTATCCTATCATTATCCTCTAGTCTATGTTAAATTACTGATGGGATAATTTCGCGAATCCAAGTCCCATCATTCCATATGTCTTCGGGAGAATTTCGTGAGATCCTAATGATTTACCCCAAAAAAAGTGAACGAGAAATTCACGCATTACCCTCTGGTAATTTAACATAGCTATGGAAAATCACCATTTTTAATGGGAAAATCCACTATAAATGGCAATTTTCAATAGCTATGTTAAATTACCAGAGGGTAGCTTCAATGAAAAGTCCACCATTGATGATTTTTCCCGTTGAAACCTCTACTTCAATGGATTGGTTTATGGACAAAAAAAATCACCGGAAAGCCCCATGATCTTCCATGGGAAAATCTATGGTTTCCTGTAGGTTTTCCCTTAAACCAATCCATTGACTACTGGGTTGAAAAAGGGGATTCTCCATTTCTATCATTTCTATGTTTGATGACCAGCACGGGTAGCCATCCTCTTTCTGCGGCTAGTTTGGCTAGTAATTGTGAGCCCCACCCGGTGATTGAATTCCGCATCCGAACAAAAAAAAGAGTTCGTGAATTGTGATCATCATCCCATTTCTATGCTTGACCAAACATATAATGAGGGGCAAACCAATGCCATAAAATGCCACATAAAATGCCATAAACCTCACAATATGACGACGGTTTTGGTTTTGATCCCACGTATTTATATCATAGTTATTCTGGGGATGGTTTTTGTTTTTTTCTATTCAACCGCATTGAAAGCAGCAAGCAGTAGCTGTTGTCAATGGATTGGTTTTTGCGGGAAAATCGAAACCGGAAACCATCGATTTTCCCATGGAAGATCATGGGGTGTTCCGCTTAAATTTTTCCCATAAACCAATCCATTGATGTTGATATGCCAGAAATGGACCTAGACTTGTGGCCTTTTCAATGATCTTCATCGCAAAGACCTCTCCAGTCTTGGTGTCCACACATTTCCTCAGCTGGTTTCTGTTTTTCCTGAAGGTTGATGATGAGTTTTTGTAGCTCGGGGATTTTTCAGAATCCACCCAAAATCACGATTCAGAAACCGGGATTAAATGTAATGACTTGAAGGATTTGGAACCATTCAATGTGGGCTGCATTGATATCACCACGTCCGGCGGAGGATCCCATTCCCGTTGAATGGTTAAAGCCTCATATTCTGCTAGATAAGACCAGGAATGCGGTCAATTACTCATCCTGTACTGCTAATATCGCCGATTTGCTGGGTCAACAATTGTTATTTCGTTGTGAAAATTGCACTCCTCCCGCTGCCGTTTTGGTTGCAATCCTTCTGCATCATCTCCTTTTCAAATCCCCTCTCTATAGCTGTTAAATCCCATGGTTTCTGTGGCTTCATCCATCTTTAATATCATCTGAAATGAACCCCCTCTCAGAAATCATGGTTTAATGCGGACTTGCACATATTTGAAAACATCTTAGGGGTGCTGAATATGAGCCGTGGATGGCAGAAAAAATCTTAGTGCTGCATGTTTTTCATGTTTTTTGCATCAGAATGATCGTCATGTTGGTCCAATCACCATGTTTTGAGATGCTTGAGCACCAAATCTTGATATGTTTTCTATGTGTGCCATGGTCAAAACATGGTATACCATGGTTTTTGTGTGTTTTTTCCCATGCATCCCATACTGGGAATAATGGCTGTGTAAATCCATAATGGATTGATGATTTTGTGTCGTAAAACATCATCATGTGTTCTTTGCGATAGTTGATGTCCATTAAGTTGGTCATGTGTGTATATAATTAGTTGTATGTATGTATATACATATATATAGATCCTATACCTATATATATATACGTATATAATATCCTATATATATGTATACGTATATATACTTGTACATAAATATGGAGGTTTTCCTAAAATGATGGTACCCCAAAAAATGCAGTCGGTCATGACCGAAACTCGTGAAACTTACGGCGAGTTTACGTAAGGCCCATCCCATGGTATCTCCGAGGTCCCCCAGTTATCATTGCAATCCCCCAGTTATTCCATTTTTGTTTGGGATTTCCCATTGGGGATATAGTGGGGATATAGTGGGGATATGGGACATAGTGGACATTTCTTTGGGATTTGTCCATCTTTTTGCATGATAATACCAGCTATTGGATGCTATTGGGCTATTGCGGTAGCCACATGACTATGCAAACCCCCTTAAATGGGGATCACTATTTTTCCATATATGTCTCCATATTTTTCACCAGCTATTGGGGAATCCATTTTTCACGCGGGATTCCCTGGCAAAATCCTTGAGCTTAGCCTCTGGACTTGCCCAAATGCTCCTGCTCCGAGGGAACTCTGCACGCTGAACTGTGAGAGCGAATACCTGCCACGGTATTCGATTCTCGCGACAGCTTCGGGGAAGTTTGGGGAATTCAGTCATAATGACTGTCATAGGGATTGGAAATTCATCATTGGTTGATTAGTGATTAGTGATTATACTAATCTGATCTAATTTCGGGTGTTTAACGGTATTTAAATAATCAGAACATATGTGGAGCACTGTGGATTTTTTTTACCAATGAAACATTTGACCTTTTCGCGCACCTTGATCTTCTTGCTTCTGCCTTTCTCGTCTCTGATCTTTTCTCTTCCTTTCTCTTCTCGGACTGCTCTCCCCACTGTTGCTACATCTGTCCATGTTGTTGGAAGTTGGACTTCTAAATTTCCTTCGATCAACTATTTCATGTTTACATTGTATATGTATATCATCTATTAACTATCTATATTAACTATCTATATCAACTATCTATATCCCACTTTTTGTTATTTATAGATACCATCAAAAGATGGCCAATATGAATTGTAGATACTTAATGGTAGGTAGTGAATAGTATAGATATTTTGAGATGATCTATTTATGATATTTAAATGTTAAAAACCGTTAAAGCATATCTATCATGGTATCTAAAAAAGATAATCTAACTATGATAGATTATAGACATTAGCTATCTATAGAACATCAAACAATATCTATCATCGGCCTGGGCTTCGACGAGATGGCCACCATGGCGCAAGTCCCGTGCGGTGACGCCCAGTCGGAACGTTTTAAACATGGCTTTTTATAGATGGCTTTTGTAGTAGTAGAAGTTCAAAAAAAGGTAGTTCTATAAGTTCTATAGTTCTAGTATGGCTTTTAGTCATATGATTGAGTGTTGAAACAAAACATACTGTAACAAAAAAACGCATGGCAAATTCTTATAATACTTTTTGTATTTTACTAAACCACATTAAGCTTACTATAGTGCTTCTAAAAAACCACAATCCATAGCATTGCTTGTTGCAGAAAAATTGGAGATGGGTTACACGTAGCAAAGATTATGGTTTATAATACGTGAATTATCAAGTAAGTAATAGCTAAACCTATTTAGAAGTAATAGTATACTCCGTATTACTATCCTGCAAAATCTATTGTGACTATAACTATGCGATTCCAACTACAGTGAACTTTACGGGATGTAATATTTCGTCATATCTTATTGGTGTATCTAGTTCAAGGGAGAATACCAACAATAATGGTGATATGGAGTATATGGAGTATATGGAGTATATGGGGTATATTCGGGATTGCGTGATCATTGAAGTAAATCACTCACCTGATTGATGCCGCCTGATTGATGCTGGGTTGTCTATTGATAGACCGATTTTTTTTCGGTGCATCCCGGTATCTCAGAGCAAGCCTTGCGAAACTGTCAATTGTCAGAGTCCCGCAGCCTGTAACTAACGTCTTGAGCCATCTGTTGACAGGAAAACAGTTAAACATGAATATGGGTAAATCAAAATATCCATGGCCATTTCAGGAACATGAATTAGAGGCATCTACCATATATATTTAAGGCCTATATTTCAGGCCTAAATTTCATTGAATATCCCCAGAAAACATGCCGTTATACGGTACTAACGTACCTTCATTTTAGGATCCTGGAATTCCCATTGAACATGTCCTTCTCCATCCATCTACGGTAACCATGGGACCATGATCCAACTCCACCATCTGTCAGGGTTGGGGAGGCTCAGCTAGACTTGGGGCCTGAAATCGCGTACCCCAATGAAAAAAGGTAATTATGGGGGTTTCCATAAATGGGGAGACCCAAAAATGGATGGGTTATAGTGGAACATCCTATTTAAATGGATAATTTTGGGGGTAACCCCCCATTTTAGGAAACCCCTACATCATTGAGCATCCCATGATTATTCCGTAAAATGGTACATATCATATATATATATATATCAATATATTATATGATAATATATATATATATTATATCATTATATATATAATATCTATCTATATATATATAAATATATTTTACTAAATATACATATATATATATTATACTAATATATAAATACATATAAATTATCAAAATATCTATAGTATATAGAAAAACAAAAAATAAACTATTATATAAAAAATATTATATATATATAATATATAAATCTATATATATATGTATATATGTATATATGTATATGTATCTCCCATCCATATATATATATATATGTATCTCCCATCCATCATGTATCCCACTCAAAAATTCCAGAATAATATAACCATTAAAACAGGTGTTTTCCCATTCATTAATGGAACATTGGTCATCCAGTTTTATCAAGTCAGCCAGGATGTTCTACCACATGATGTTACAAATTACGACGTGATGTATATATATGTAGTACCATGTATATGTATAGAGTGTATAGAGTGTATATAGTGTATATAGTGTATATATATGTACATATATATATGGCAGTGAATCAAAACTGTGTATGGAACTTTCCGCGGTGTTCCAGACGTATGGACGGAAGGGGCTTCGTAACTGGTCTTGTTCCGGACCTTTGGAATGTGATGAAATATAGGCTATACATAAATAAACAAATAAATAAGCAAAGAAAAAATTAAATAAGCAATAAATAAATAAACAAACAAAAAAATAAATGCACATATGTACATATATATATATGGAAACCTAGAACTGTCAAATACATCTCACCGATTTGCATGTTGAAGCTACTCATGCTAGCTGCCGTTCTCATCTGCACGACATCCTTATTGTACACCTGTTCAACGCAGGTTTGCCTTGGATGGCTAGTGCACTAGCTAGGACACAACCGGTAGCCAGCGTCACCCACTGGCTACCATGTGAAGCTGTCCACTCAGCTTCAGACCTGTCACGCAGGTCCCACCTCCTACCCTTAAAACTCAGAGGTCCCCATGGGGTAGAATGTGTCCCCGCGTAGCAAGACTCTAGGCTCCCATAACCAGGATGGCTTAGGAGCAGTCTATGTGTTCTTAGACTGCCAGCTGGCAGCAGCAGCCAAGCACATCCCTACCAACACACAACAGAGTAGGTAGCATCTGCAAGTATAGCACAGACTTGCCAACACAATCACAGGCCTTGGGAATAGGAAACAAATTCTTGCATGTATGTACTTATGTATGTGCGCTCATGTAGGTGCATACACATGTTGAATAAGATTGCAATGTTCAAATAAATAGATATAATTAGATATACATATATATGTGCGTGTGTACATATCTATGTATATATATGTATACATATATATATGTACATAAATATATATATATATGCATATACATGTATATATATATACATGTGTATACAAAAAATGTATATATACACATATGTATATATATATATGTATATTATATATACACATATGTATATACATATATGTTTATACATACATAAATGTATGTATATTAAATGTGTATATATATAATGTAAATATATATATACATATGTATGTATGTATATATATATATGTATGTGTCATGACGTATGGATCAGAGGTATGCAGAAGAGGTATGGAACGGATCATTCAAACAGGTATGGAACGGGGGTATGAAACGGGGGTATGGAACGGGGGTGGTCCCGGACCTTGTTCCGGACCTTATAATTTGACTTGTACCCAAATGTATATATATATATATATATATGTACATGTCTATATAAGTATACATGTATACATGTATACATGTATGTATGTATGTATGTATGTAAGTATATATATGTATATATATGTATATATATGTATATATGTATATATGTATATATGAAGATATGTATATATGTATATCTGTATATATGTATATATGTAATTTTGCATGTACACGCATGATCATACATGTATGATCATGTATGATCATGTATGATCATGTATGATCATGTATGATCATGTATGATCATGTATGATTATGTATGTGTAAATAAAGGCATACATGGTTTGTAGCCACTTACTACATGGGATGCACATCAAATCAGGAGCTGTGTCACGCCTTTTGTTTGTTCCTGTTTCAGAGATCACCACTGTAGATTGCTGAGTATCTCAGTTTCGCACTGGAGTCTGTTTCGCTCGATTTATTGTATGGATGGTGAATAAAGTTCAATAGTGGTGATATAATGATTATAATGATTATTGCTGAACAATCGGATATTGATATATGGAGTTTTCCTGAGTTTTCAAGCATGAGTTAGTGTTGCTTAACAACCATGGTGAAGACCGGGGGTCCACGAATTAAGATACCCACCCCCGTCAGAAAGAACATCCACTTCATGATGTTTCCAGTGGCCTATGGATGGTGATGTGATCCCAAATTCATGTTGTTGGATTATAACCTCTGGTAAACGTTAACAATAGCGAAAGATCCACCCATTTTTGATGGGAAAAATCACTATTTCGACTGGGCCATTTTCAATAGCGAACCGTTAAATTACCAGAGGGTATAACCTCGACTAGATTGTTGTTTCACCACCAGAAAGCCATATAAACCCAATGTATAGGTCGCCTGTCATGAAATTTCACCATAAACTCAACGTACGTCGCAGGCCTACAACATGGCAATGGAGAGTCATGACATTCTTGATGGTAACCTGGCAACATCTACTTTCCAGCTTCGACTATTAGCAAGATAGATAGATAGATCCGATCAGATCAGATCAGATCCGATCAGATTGGATTAGATTAAATTAAATTAGATTAGATTAGATTGAATTAGATCAGATTGGATAAGATTAGATTAGATAGATTAGATAGATAGGATAGATAAGATAGACAAGATAGATAAGATAGATAAGATAAGATAGCTAGGATAGAAAGAATAGATAGGTAGATAGGATGGATAGGATAGATAAGATAAGTAATATAGACAAGATAGATAAGACAGATAAGGTAGATAAGGTAGAAACATATAGATAAGGTAGATAAGATAGATAAGATCGATTAGATAGATTAGATCCATTAGGTAGATTAGATAGATAAGATAGATAAGATAGATATGATAGATAAGATAGATATGATAGATCAAAAAGATAAGATAGATAAGATAGATCAAATAGATAAGATAGAAAGGTCAGAAAATATAGAAAAGATCTATACAATAGATAATACATAAAATATATAAAATATAGAAAATATAGAAAAGATAAATACGATAGATACGATAGATAAGACAAATACGATAGTAAAGATAGATAATATAGATAAGATAGATACGATAGATAAGATAGATACGATAGATAAGAAAGATAAAATAGAAAAGATAGATGATATATATCAGATATATATTAAAACAAAAGATAGATAAGAAAGATAAGATAGATAAGAAAGATAAAATAGAAAAGATAGATGATATATATCAGATATATATTAAAACAAAAGATAGATAAGAAAGATAAGATAGATAAGATCGATACGATAGATAAGATAGATAAAATAAAAATGATAGATAAGATAGATAAGATAGAAAAGCTAGATAAGATACATGAGATAGATAAGAAAGATAAGATAGATAAGATAGATAGGATAGATACGATGAATACGATTAGATAGGTAGATAGATAGATCGATAGATCGATAGATAGATAGACATATAGATAGATAGATAGATAGATAGGTAGATAGATAGATAGATAGATAGACAAAGAGATAGAGAGACAGAGAGATAGAGAAATAAACATATATACAATTATATACCTATAGATAGATAGATAGATAGATAGATGGATGGATGGATAG